CAAGCCTAAAACCCTCCAAACCCCTCAAACCCCTAAAACCCCTAAAGCCCCTACAAGGCCACTTCAATGGCTTCTTCTGGGCTTCCATCGCAGGCAAAAGCCCACATCCATGGCTTTTTCTGGGCGTCCAAGCTTGCCGTTTGCCAGGGCTCAAACCCTCCAAACCCTCCAAACCCCTAAAACCACGAAAAGGCCACTTCAATGGCTTCTTATAGGCTTCCAGCGCCCACAACCATGGCTTTTTATGGGCGTCCAAGCTTGCCGTTTGCCAGGCCTAAAACCCTCCAAACCCCTAAAACCCCTAAAACCCCTAAAACCCCTACAAGGCCACTTCAATGGCTTCTTCTGGGCTTCCAGCGCAGGCGAAAGCCCACATCCATGGCTTTTTATGGGCGTCCAAGCTTGCCGTTTGCCAGGCCTAAAACCCTCCAAACCCTCCAAACCCCTACAACCCCTAAAACCCCTACAAGGCCACTTCAATGGCTTCTTCTGGGCTTCCAGCGCAGGCAAAAGCCCACATCCATGGCTTTTTCTGGGCGTCCAAGCTGGCCGTTTGCCAAGCCTAAAACCCTCCAAACCCCTCAAACCCCTACAAGGCCACTTGAATGGCTTCTTATGGGCTTCCATCCATGGCTTTTTATGGGCGTCCAAGCTTGCCGTTTGCCAAAAACCCTCCAAACCCCTAAAACCCCTAAAAGGCCACTTCGATGGCTTCTTATGGGCTTCCAGCGCAGGCAAACGCCCACCTCCATGGCTTTTTATGGGCGTCCAAGCTTGCCGTTTGCCAGGCCTAAAACCCTCCAAACCCCTAAAACCTAAAACCCCTACAAGGCCACTTCAATGGCTTCTTCTGGGCTTCCAGCGCAGGCAAAAGCCCACATCCATGGCTTTTTCTGGGCGTCCAAGCTTGCCGTTTGCCAGGCCTAAAACCCTCCAAACCCTCCAAAACCCCTAAAACCCCTACAAGGCCACTTCAATGGCTTCTTCTGGGCTTCCATCGCAGGCAAAAGCCCACATCCATGGCTTTTTATGGGCGTCCAAGCTTGCCGTTTGCCAAGCCTAAAACCCTCCAAACCCCTAAAACCCCTAAAACCCCTACAAGGCCACTTCAATGGCTTCTTCTGGGCTTCCATCGCAGGCAAAAGCCCACATCCATGGCTTTTTCTGGGCGTCCAAGCTTGCCGTTTGCCAGGGCTAAAACCCTCCAAACCCTCCAAACCCCTAAAACCCCGAAAAGGCCACTTCAATGGCTTCTTATAGGCTTCCAGCGCCCACAACCATGGCTTTTTATGGGCGTCCAAGCTTGCCGTTTGCCAGGCCTAGAACCCTCCAAACCCTCCAAACCCCTAAAACCCCTACAAGGCCACTTCAATGGCTTCTTCTGGGCTTCCAGCGCAGGCAAAAGCCCACATCCATGGCTTTTTCTGGGCGTCCAAGCTTGCCGTTTGCCAAGCCTAAAACCCTCCAAACCCCTCAAACCCCGACAAGGCCACTTCAATGGCTTCTTATGGGCTAGCAACCTTTCGCACAAATAAAGCATGCGTAGCTGCAGCGATCTCAACAGGAGACATGCGCATTAGAAGGTCTTGGATGTCTTGGGGTGTTTCACAGTCTTTCATCCTGGTGGCGTCGCCACAATGACGTCATGAGTATTCCCCAAGTTCTATCATCATTCCACTTTTGCGAATGGAATGCATGTAATGTACTATATATATATACATACGTATGTTTAACAATGTTTAGGCCTAGCCGTTTGCTGGGCTTCTTGAGTGGCTCTATGTCTGCGCACTTCTTCCTCCACCCTTGAAAAGGGGTCGGCGGCACCAGGGCGTTAGCCCATTTATTATACATCCAACAATAAACTATCATCTGGTGAAACTCCATTTGACTCAATTTTTATAGCTCCAACTGGCCCATGATCAGCGTTTGAGATCGTAACCCTGGTCCCAAGACGTCTTGGGGGAGAGCGCTCATCTGCCCTGGCATCGGGAAAAATCATGGAGAAAATCATCAGTGGACATTGTCAATCAACACCCCTAGGGGAAGTATAACATAGATGTGGAAATTTTCATGATTTCATCAGTTAGACTATCAACATCCCTAGGGCAAACTATAACAACATTAAGATGTTAATCATGATGTAGGTAAATTAGATGGGTAAATTGACATCAGATGTAGAAAAGCACTGGTTTTTGTAGGAACATGATCTTCAAATGGTGGGTTACCTTAAGGTATCAACCACTCAAAGTTGGTCCGAAATATCAGCAGATCCCATTCTCAGCTCAGACCACCCTGTCGTGCATCTTGGCCAGCAAGGCTCCTGAAAAATATGAAAGTGAAACCGTTGAAAAAGGATGACTTGGCATTATACTGGGCAGAACTCGGCCATTTTCATCCATTTTCTTGTGACTCCCCTGGTTTTTTTTTTATGGACTTCCTGGGATCTTCGTAACAAACGGCTGCTACCCAGCACACAGAATCCACTCCCCTGTCCCGGTGAGAGGGTGCATCTCGGAAGTGCGCCCTGACAGCGACCCATCAAAGCAAAATCGATGTCTAGAATTCATGGATCATGTTGCTCGTGATGATGATGAGGATGATGATGATTATGATGATTATGATGAATATGTTTGTTTACTATGATGGGAGCCCCAAATTCACCTGATGATGATTGTGATGATGATGATGATGATGATGATGATGCTGATGATGCTCTTATACTTTAGCTACATTGCTACATCTGAGCATATCTGAGCCAAGTACTTCTTAGATCTGAAGCTACTCATAATGTCTGCTGATTCTGATTCTCAGCCAACTACTACACGTTACTACACACTCCATGAAGATTTTTAAAGGTAACCATGGGACCCTCCGTCCTCGTCTGGCAGTCCTTCCATGGATGAATCCTTTCGCCCGCCTCGATCATCATTTCACCATTTGGGAAGTTCCGCAGGAAGTCTGGGTCTTTCATGGTGTTTTTGTCATTTTTTCTCAGGAATTTGCCATTTAATTTATGCCCCAATGTCAGGTTTAAAATGGTTTATTTTCCAATTTGCAAATGAACACTTGAGGTTGTGCCAATGGAGCATGGATGGGGATTGGAAGCTCTGACTTGTAGTGCTGAGAGATCGATGCCTCTTCCAATCCTCATCGAACATCAGGAAACCTGCCATACAGCCTCGGTTCTTCATCACAACATCTCATTCTTTGACAACATGGCAACATATGGCAACATATGGCAACAATACAACCAGGTTCTCATATGTTCTCATCACATGAGGTTTCCGAGTCCAGAAAAAGTCAGCCAGAAACCAAGCCATCCGATGCCGGTCTGAGGTTCCCACAGCACATCAAAAGACCTGCCGGGGGTTGGATTCTGTAAGGATCCTGTATCGGAGATCAGACATGGCTCAGCTGCCAAGGGGCCTACCCCTCTAGTGGGAACTGCGAAGCAGCCAGAAAACACCCCTCTAGTCATCAAACGTAGCAATTGAACATCCATTCCTAATCGCAAAATCATAGAAAATCATCTAGAAATGGGGGATTCTCTATTGCATCCTATCGCATCTGATTGCTATGTTTGATTACCGGAGGGTCACAGGACGCCAAGGAACATAGCAACAACGGCCACCACCATGGACCGGGTTTGTAGCCCTCATCAATCTCCTGAAAAACACCAAGTCCCGATGTTTGAAGGATTTTCAGGTGAAGCTTAGGAAAGACATGCTTCCGAATGATCTTCCTTGATGGCAGCTTTCTGCCACCTTCACTTCGATTTTCAGGTTCAACTACCATCTGGTTATGACATTCACAGTTCGCCATGGAAAACCGCCATGCTATTAATAGGTAAATACCATCTATAAATACCATGGCTATCAATATGAATGTCATAACCAGATGGTTCAACTGGATCCACATCCACAGCTCCTGAAACTCTGAGGTCTCAGGCGTCGTAGTGGCCACCTCAGTTGACTCGAAAAAAAATGATGAACCGACCGTCAGTTGCAGCTTTTTTTTGAACCAACTGCTGAGGTTCAAACCAGCATATCGCAAGTAAAATCGATATCTTGCTGCAAACTGGCCTAGGAGGATATTGTGAAGCATCAGACTTTCAGACTTTCCTCAGAATCTCTCAGAGCTAGTGGCTCACTAAAGAAGGTATATGGATTCTCATAATTTTACCAATCAAACATGGCTAGCTGGGAAATCCCTGAACAAAAAAACGGAGGATTTAAATGAGAAAATCATCTTTCATTGCTATGTTACTGGAGGGAAAGTTTCAGCCATTGAAATCTCGGTTCCTGAGATTGAAGCGACATAGTCTGGATTCACCTTACTGGCCCAGGGGGGTTGAAAAGATTGGGCACCTTGGGCACTAAGTTGTTGAAGTCTCTATGATTTCCAAGAATGCCACTAAGTCAACTGGGATGGTTTGGGTATCTAATGGTATCGGTAGCGTTTTCAAATGTTTTCAAGAAAACATCCACAATATCCAAGAAATCTACAACCACCCCAATATCCTCATTTTTTCACCTGTTCACCATATCTTGGTCCCAAAATTTCTTCCAATCTCCACTTGGAAGCCTCAATTTTGACCTACAAGGTGGTACCCCCAAAAGAGAACCAAGTTGGCTTTGTTCACTAGGTGGAGATTGATAGAACATTTATGGTGGAATTATCATTTGTAGATATGATTTATGGTATCATTTGTATTATTGTAGATATGATTTAGATTTATGGTAGATATATCTATTGTAGGGATATGATTTGTGGTAGATATATCATTGATATATCTACAGTCAATAGTCTCATAGTATTCATGGTTTTTCTCTTAACCAACCAAGAGAACCATTGATATCCATTAACATCTACAAATATCTATCAGGAAAATCTTAGATATACATTCATTTATAGATCATTGAATGATGATTTTGTCATATTCCGTATATTCCATGGTCCATGGTTTATAAATCAACAAACAGAACTGGAGGGGCGGGGCATCACCTTACCCTTCCGACCCAAAACGAGTCCGAGTCCGACCAAGGTGACCAAGGAGCATGGATATAATGGTCGCAAGCGCTCTCGCAGCCGCCACAAGATAAGAAACGCACCAAATGCACCCTACAGGGAGTGCAGCATGTGGCCATCAAATTCCATGGATTGGAAGAAGAACTTATTGCAATGGATTGGAACCTAATGTTTCATGGTTAATTAATGTTAATTAATGTTAATTAATGTTAATTAATGTTAATTAATGTTAATTAATGTTAATTATACCGGTTGATGTTTACTTTATACTTCCATGCTTTCCATGCTTTCCATGCCACGGTATCGTAGCCGCCTCCGTGGATGCATACCCTCTGCATAGTACAGGGCCTCCCCTGCCTGCAACGGTGACTCACCACAGCAACAGATTCACATACCCTCTGGTGAACTAACATAGCTATAGAAAATCACCATTTTTAATAGGTAAACCATCTATTTCTATGGGCCATTTTCCATAGCTATGTTAGTTTACCATTGAACATGGTATCAGAACATGTCGTGTAATATCCTGGGAGGAGTCCGCAGAATTTCAATGATGCAGAGCGTGGGCGTCCTTGATGAAGCGTGATGGCATGGGCGTTGTGAGTGCCTCAAAATGGCCAGGCTGCCGACTGACAGGCCTCCTCAAGCCTACATTCTCAGTAAGCACGTGCGTTTTCATGAAAAAAACAATGTGGTTTTCACCATCTTGTCATGTTAAGTGCATAAAGTACATGTAACTTCTTCATTCTTCTCTAGTTAAGGCATCATTGAACATCGATTGTATACATTATTTCATTGTATTTCATTCAACATGTCCCATCATTTCCCAACAAAAATCGTCCAAGTACTTCCAGGTGCCCCGGCTTCCGGGACCGTAGGGGCCAAGGTGGAGACATCTGCAACCACGGCGCTTCCCACGGTCCCGGCGCTGGCTTCAGCGGCCGCGTTCTCGGCCGCAACAGCTTCTTCAGCCCAGGAGGCTTTGTCAGAAGCCTGGCGGGGATCATAGGATCATCGGATGGAGATTCTAACTATACCCCATAGGATCCATGTATAATATATGCTAACATGACTGGGGTATATTGATGGTAAATGTTAGCATATATACCATACATGGATCCTATGGGATAACCTATATAACTATAACCCATGGTCAATACTCACTATATGGTTGATGGTCATCCCATCCATAAGGATCCAAAAATAATGGTTATTGTAAATCCCTATGAAACATTGGATGACTAGCCCCTATTAATGGTTATTAACCATGAGTATTGACCATAGCTCATATAACTATAACCCATGACGGATCCATGGTGCTGCTAGAAAAATGGTGCTCCATGGATCCCATCAATATACCCCAGTCATGTTAGCATTAATCTACCAGCACCATGGTTCCTATGGGTAAGTGACATAAGTGATATATGATGCGATTGAATAAGATCATATACGTATGATAATTCTATATGATTTATCTGTATATATATATATATCAGTGATATGATGTGATATGAATAATTGTTGATATGAGAAGTGATACCAACTTGATAAACTTGGACTTGTCTGAAACTGGGGTATACCTTGATATACCCCCGACTTCTGGCCGTGAATCAATTTCTGGGATTTTGGGGGATGGGAGAGATCAGTGATACCAAGAATTTCTATGGGGATTTTTTTGTGATACCAAATTCTATAGGGATGAAGGATTATGGGTTTTGAATTTCTATGGGAATTTATGGGAAAATTAATGGGGAATTCTATGGCATCATACCAAATTAATGATCTCCTATTAATTCTATGAGAAAATTCCCTATATGTTAGGATGAATCAAATTCATGTTTAATGGGGATTTGACCACCAAACATAGAGTTGTCATACATAGTGGTTTTTAGGGATAAACACAAGGCGGTTTACGGCACCACAAAATGAAGTAATAAATATTGCACATACCGAAATTGCTTGGACAAAGGACAGTTCCATGATGTTGAACGAGCAAGAAATTTGGGGATCTCAAAACCCCTAGTTTCCTCTCAAATGTCCCAACAATCCATTGAATCAATGAGGTGTGGACTAATTCACCAAAAAGCTTATGGAAAAACATAGTCAGTAGATTGATTCAAGAGGCAATTTACAGTAAACCTTCCATATTTATGCATATTTCAATGGAAAAAACATGGTTTTCCAACGTTTCCAGTCATTTTCCCTACTAATCCATTGAAAGTGCGACATTTTGATCCATGGCACCTCTGAAAATTCCTCGCACGACCTGCACGAAGCACAGGAATAACTTCAAACGCAACAAAATGACATCAAAAAGAACGAAGCTCACCCATTTAAGGCATATTATTTAGGAGATCTAGCATATGGACATATAATACAATATAATACAATATAATATAATATAATATAAATAATATATAATAAATAATATATCATATATATAATATAAAATATATAATATATAATATAAAATATATAATATAAATAATATATCATATACAATATATAATATATAAAAAATAATATATCATATATATCATATAAAATATATAATATATAATATAAAATATACAATATAAATAATATAATATATACAATATATAATATATAATAAATAATATATCATATATATCATATAAAAGATATAATATATACTATAAAATATATAATATTTCATATTTCATATATAATATAAAATATATAATATTTCATATATATATATAATATATAAAATATATAATATATACAATATAATATATATTATAAAATATATATAATACATAATATATAATATATAATATACAATATATAATATATAATAATATATAGATATACATCACCTATATTTATAATATATTATATAATATATATATATGTATTCTAGACATGTGACATGTGTCTGTAGCTGATGAGTTTAAAATCCATGACATTCACAAACATTCCCCATACGCCGCATACGCCCCCGGTGTTTTCGGATGCGAAGCGCACGGAAAATTGGCGGCACCTGGGGCCCGCTATTGCTCCAGGCATTGGCTTTGGTTTCAGCCCACTGCCCTGCAACCAGCAACCTCCAGGGAGATTTCGTACCCGGTACCCGGTACCATGCGAAGCTATTAGCATATATAGAACAAAATTTGTACATTAATAGATGAACATTATGTGATGAACATGATTATAGTACTCTATATTTAGTAGATGAACATTATGTGATGAACATGAATTTGTTGAATCATGGAACAAATGAACATTACTTAGGGAAAACACCACGGAAATCATGATGATAGTCAGTATGCATTGCATTAGATTACACACCAACTGCACCATTGAAACAGCGTCTGAAATGATGCGGCCTCCATCCGCGGAGTAATACGTGAACACCTCAGGTGATCACCCCGGAGTGGGAAAAACATTTCTAGAAGACTCTTTGACCATCCATGGTATATTCCATCCATCCAGATTATGTGAAGTCTCTAACAATATTCCATCCATATATCCATGGTATATTTCTACGACTCTTTTCATCCAACATTTCAGTGGGCCAAGTGGGAATCAAACAGACTGTTCACACATTTGGATCCATTTCACTAGGACTCTTCAACATCTTCAACATTTCCCACATGGATGAAAAAGAAGTGTCAGTGAAATTTCTGCGGATGTCGTGGTGACGATTTCTCCCAAAAAATGCGGATTGCTCACGAACCCATAGGATCCATGTATGGTATATATATATGCTAACATTTGGGGTATATTGATGGGATCTATGTTAGCATATATTATTGATCCATATATACATGGATATTGATAATATATAGGATCCTAATACTGAATAATATAGGATCCATATAATATTATATGTTAATATATTGATGGTATATTGATAATATATAGGATCCGTCATGGGGAATTGGTCAATCCAACATCGAAGCAGGTCGCGAGTCGCCAAGATACTGAGCACAAATGCCGAGCCGCCTCGAGCCCCAGAAACCATGGCAACCATGGTGAAATCTAGGGGATAAGACTACAGATTTGCCACACTTTGCGACCATGAAAAAAATGAGGGGGTGTGATTTATTGTGGATTCGCGCAGGAATTAAAAAAAACAATAGCTGCAAGATCCATAGAATTCCAGAGAGATCACACCATGGGGAACCCAGAATCACGTGGTTCATCATGGTTTTCCCCACCATCATGAAGAAATTCTACTAGGACTGCCATTTTAGTCATGTTGATACATATCCTTATATGAATATCCCCCGAAGAGACATTTCAAATACAAGACAACTGGGGACTGTGAGATAAAAAAACAACTGTCATGTTTCATCATTTGATAAGTGGACCTGGTATTCAGATGAAGATATCCCATGACCGTTGTACAATACAACTATCCCATGACCATTGTTTTTTTTCAGATATGTCTTCTGTATCAATGATCATGGGATATCTACAAATCCCATCATTAGATTCTAATATCCCATCATATCCCATCTTAGACAGTTGTAGACCAAGGTATAAGGTATTTGTCATGACCATCATATCCCATCTTAGACTGTCTTAGATCCCCCCATGATCCCATGGTTTTCAACGGCCAAGGGACACATAAAGCCTGGCAGGCGGATGCATCCGTAACACCTGGCGTTTCACGGCTCACAGTTACAGTTAAAGATCATCAACAGGATGGCCATCTGGGGCCTGTTGAAACTGAGACATGGCATGCTGTGAAACTTGGAGTTCCACAACTCATCAAGAATCAGGGCCCAACAAAAACGTTGCTATACATGAGAACATTGACATTACAGAGAGCCACTTCAGCACTATACAACAATATAATGAGTCCAGTGGTCCAGTGGTATGTTGGATGGAAGAAATCTTTCACCAGTTGGGAACTATTAGGTACCTATGAAACACTGTAAATAATGGATTATCATGGGGTAAACCACCTATTCACTGGTGCAGGATTTCTTCCATCCACAGTATGTTGGAAGATTTCCCAAGATGTTCCTGGCCATGGCCTAAGCCGCCATTTGCAGTGGTGACCACAGGATCATCATACCTCATCTTGCCAGAATTCAGAACAATATCAAGCACCGTTAATATAATTAACAGCTATCTATATATATACATGGTTGTGGATCTCGGGGGGGCTAGCATATATATATATACAGTATAATGTATTATATTATATATATAGTGTATAGCTATACTAATATAAGTACACATATGTAACATTCGACATCATTTATCCATTTTATCCAAGCCTGCCCATTTCCAACATCGAAATAACACCAGGCGGCCCCTGTCCAGCAATGGCACAGCTGGGCACAGTGCCTGAGCTGTACAGCTGGGATGTACCTCAAACTGGGTCATTTCACAGGGTAAATCGTTGCAAATAGTGATGAAATCCAGATGGATTTTAAGGGGTATCCAATTTTCAGAGAAATCCTGGGTCAATTTGACCCCATGAATTTCTGAGTTTTATAGGGACGGATGTTGGGAATGAATATCAAACATCAGGAGCTATTTGGAAGTGAACATCTCTCAATATTTGGATGCCATGGGTGCCATGATCTGCCATAGATGGGCATATCTGAAGAGTGGTCCACCCAACATCAGATTGGGCATTCCTCAAACCGCTGGCCTCATCGAAATGGAAACACCCTTCTCAGTGAATTAGGTCAAATAATATGTTTTAAAATACCAGTTATTGATCCAGTTATTTATATTGGTGCTATAATCCACTGAGTTTTTCTTCAATAGCATGGTATATTGGATTAACATATTGAAAACCATCCATATATTATTGATATGGATCCAGTTAATAGTGGAGAGTTAATTTTATTGATACATTATTGATATGGATCCATATATAAACATATAATCCATATATTATTGTTGATAGTGTTAACTCCATATTGATCCAGTTAATCCATAGGTGTTAACATGGCGCCTTTGTCAAAGGAGTTTCTGTTCCCATCCAAAGGATCCCACTCAATGCGCTTGGAAGCAGCAAAAATGCCAGGGCCTCATGAAAAATGGCCGGCCGTTTCTTGGGGTATCGCCATATTTATTATCTGGTTGGTATATATAATAGTATATTATAGTATATTATATAAAAGTATATTATAGTATATTATATCTAAAATATTCTTGGGGTATAGTATATTATATATAATTCTTATCTGGTTGGTGGTTTGAACCCCTGAAAAATATTATCACTTTATCACTTTATGTGGGAACCGTGGGGCTGACGCGCGACCCCACGATTCTTCCTCCATCGCGCTCAGCCGGTCTTTGCGGCTCGGATAGCATCCAAGTCACTGGTCGAATTGGCTTGCCTTCCGAGTTGGGTGAAAATCACGGAATCCACCCTTTCGATCATCTCTGCAGTCCAGTGAAATTTGTAACTTACCACCCATTTCGATACAGCCGAAGAATGTGTTGGTGCGACCTTCTGTGGCAGTGTGACCTGGTTTCCACGCAGGTAACTCCGAAATAGGAGCAAGAAAAGCTTGCACCGATGGCCCCGACTGTGACGTGCAGAAACTGGTACCTCCTCCTCTTTGGAGTACCATCGCTTGTGAAAGCACCATGGACCCTGGTAAGCTGTGTGAAGATTGAAAGAAACAATTGTATCCCTGCAATGTACTTCAGTGGTTGATCGCCTCTCATCATTCGAGGCCCCCATTCAGTCCACCAATTGTGTACCTGTTGCAAGTTGAAACTTCCATACCTCTTCACCAGCTTGGACGGTATGCTCCATGCTGCAGGCACCTGAAGCACTGGGTCCGGCTGCAGATCGACAACAGGCTCCGGTTTGGGCAACTGCTGTGCTTGCACCGCAATTCGGGATGTCTCAAGGAGCACCAATTGTATGGCAGCATGCAACTTCCGGTGAAAATTGAGTGCATGCTGCTTGGCACCCCAAGCCACCCAAAATTCATTCGGTCTCCGCAGGTTAATGCTTGCTGCTGCTTGATCGGCCAAATTGTTATGCCAATAAACCCAATCCTCCAAGGGGTTCGTGGCACACTTCATAGACCCATGGGAAACTACTTTCTGTATAGAAATGAGTGCCTCATTGTCAACCACTGCCAACTGCACCCGTTTCCACAAATCTGAGTGAGGAGCATTTCGCCGAAGGGGACGTCCCTGCAGCAATCTCCCAAGACCCCGTACAACTCCTTGGCAGTCACACCAAGGAGCCTGACAGGGCGACCATGTTTGGTTGACCAAATCACCGCATGCATCACTGCTGTTAACTTCCCTGTAAGGCGACTGGCAAAGGCCGCTGACGTGGCCGCCCATGAGTAACTGGGTGTCAAAAGTCCCAGCTCCACCAGGCACAGCTGTAATGGCCCAAGCCGCAAACCTCAACTTTGCTTCCTGGGGGAATGCACTGGTGCCATCCACAAACAACTCCAGCACGTGAGGCATACTGCGAACCGAGGGTTCTACTGGTGACAGCCTACAAAGTCCATCATCCTGTAAAAACCAACCTGCCAACACCTCCCACTCAGGCAACACCACCGGCCACCCATGATCGACCAAGCACGCTGGCAGAAAAGGAAGAGCTGCAAGCTGTTCAGGGCAAAGGTGAGCACGGCACGAAGAGAAGTAGGGACAAACCCAGGCCCTATAAACTTGGCTTTGCCATTCGGTGTGAACAGCGTGCCATGAAGATGACAACGGAGATAGATCTGGTCAGCCGGGCTGAATTTCTTCAAAGTGAGATGGAGCTCAGGCAAGTCCACACCGTCCAATCCAGAAAAGGTAGAGCGATAAGCCAGTTCATGAGCCAAAACATGACCCCAGGACAGTTTGAAACGAAGAACCAACTCATCCCAAGCAATCCCCAAGAGACTGATGGTGCCCAGGCGATCTTGGACTAGACCCTGACCCCCAATGGCCCAACCAATCCGCTGAAGACGGGTCACAAGAATGGCCGTTGGCCCATTGGAAGGCAACTTGTCAGAACTGGTAGCAAAAAGACCCAACATCGACTCAACTTGATCAGGGCACCCAAGCTCACGAACGTCCCGCAGGGTTTGGAAGCCTCAGGGTCCGAAAGGACTGAGGAAGATGCAAGGTGGAGGTAGGGATTGGCACCCGGTCTGCACGGAGGGCTTTCGAAGCGCCAGAACGGAGAACTTTGAAGTGTTGTTCACCCAAGTGAACCACCGAGATGCCATGCAAGGCCTTGGGCCAGGCCATCATGTGCAGTGCAGTGATCTTATGCTTATAAGGGCTGTGACTAGCTTTCAAGCGCACCCACACCTGAGGCATACGCGTCAAGCGCTTCTGGAGCTCTGCGTTGTGAGTGTCGGCTGAAATTCTGATGGGCCCCCAGGTTGCGAGCTGCCAGGGTAACACAAACCTGGCTCTGTCGAAAGGCCTTCCGTGCTTCAGCATCGGTAGACCAAAGACGGGTCTTTGTCATGTCAATGGCCAAGTCCTTTTGGCCTGTGAAGTCTTCCATTGCCGCCCAGACCCTGCCAAAGGCATTTTGCTCACGGAACAAGACCCCCCAATCATCAACAAAAGTCCGCAGGTCCACTTGAACTTCAATGCTGGCCAGCCACCAGTCCAACATCCAGTCAACAACGGTCATGCCAAAAACAGACAAAGCACCAGCCAAGTCAAAGACAAAACCAAAGAACCGGACAACACACAGCACAGGAGTGGCCGGTAGTCCAAAAGGCCAGGGGCCATAAAAGTCCAGCGAGGCCCAAAATCCAAAGAAGTAGTGAAACATGGTGCAAACCGATGCTGTGACCACCGACGACTTCCCAATTACATGGCAGTCAAATGAGCGACTGGGCACCCTCATTCTTGCCGGGGGCGCTTTGTGAGCAAGTTTTCAAACTGGGCCATCTGCTTGCTAAACATGGTATCAAGCATCGTCTGTTGGTGACACACCTGCTGACGGAACTCTTCCTGGAACGTGTCCTGAAAGCCTTGCAAGGTGGATGCCTGTGCAGAGATGGCCTGTTCAAAATGAACACCTTGTTGATGAATCTGTCCTCTGATTTCCTGAAACTGAGTGGCCGTGTCATGAGCTTGCTGTTGCGAGGCATCTGCAAGTGCTTTGGTTTGGTCCCTGAGCTCCTGAAACTGGGATTCCAACGCAGCAACCTTCTGGTCAGTGCCTTGTTCAGTGTCAACTTCCATAGCTGACTTGGGAAGCTGTGCCATCACTTCATGAAGGACCTTCTAAGCCATGTCTTCCAAAGGGTTGCCAATCTGGAATGAAGCGGCTTTAGGGGCCAATCTTCCAGCAGCTTTGGCCCATGGGTCATTCAGCTGAATGTAATCAGCTTCAATCGGTTTGGCCACAATGGATTCCGTGGCCATGGTGGCAACGACTTTCGGTGTTGGACGATCAGGGATCTGCACTTCATCTTCTTTCGAGATCATGACGTCCCCATGTGCCATACGAATGACTTTACAACTTGGGTCCTGGATGGACTGAACTCGAAACATCAACCCCTGGACATGAGATTTGGCAGCAAGAGCCTGTACAGGTTTGGCTGTCCATCCCTGGGCAACGGACGACTGCAAAGTGCCATAGGCAAAAGGCCCTACCAGGAAACTCTGACGCTTGCCTGGTGGCAAGAAGGTATGACCTGGTTTCACTGTGGAAAAGACTTCGGCTTCATGCTCAGTTCTGCACCTGAGACCCATCTTTTGTCCCATCCTGGCCAATCCCACTACATGCTTGACTGTCTGTCTCTGCAACATCACTTGGGACTGGTCCGCTTTGGGGAGCCACACCACCTGGAAATCTGGCGAAGGCTGACGTCCATCAATGGCTTTGGGTTCCAAGTAGACACCATCATGACCTGAAAAGTATTGCACCTGCATCTGCAAGTGCTCAGGCAGCCGCAAGTGGGCAGTAAACAGCTCTGACTGGTCCGGGGAGGTCTGTCGGAAGTCCAAACGCAACCACTGTTTCCCCCACAATTCCAAGACAGGTGTTGACATGGGAAAGTCCGCAGATGAATGCCAGCACTCACACCCACAGCATTCCTCATCTTGGCATCTCTGAAGTGGTGGTACCTTGGCAAAGACATGAAGAAGTGGATGGGCAACAATCTCAGACCACGGAGTAGCAGTTTGATCCCGAAAGACCATCGCTTTGACCACACAAGTTGGAAAGGGGCACGCTGGACACCGACTGCACCAAGTTGGACCATGTGACCATCCACCAAGAGAGGCTCCGAATTGGCAGCACAGACCAGGGGAACACGAACCGGAGCAACAGCAAACTGAGTGACGGGCAGATCGTGTGAATCGACAACGAAAAAGGCCAAAGGGCCTGAGGAGATCGGATGCTGGGCTTTGAGGTAGGGCTCAGCTGCCTGGAGAGAAACCACTACAACACCTGCAGCATTGGAACCAACCTGTGAAAGTCCAAGTTGTGACAATTGATGCCCAGCTTCACTCTGGAAAATGCCATGTTCCATGGGGGCACCCTTACCCTTACCTTTGGCACTCCGCAAGCAGCCCATACACAAAGCCCGCCAACCAATAAAATGGTTGGAGGACTGTCCCCGGCAGGTCGCAGCAGCGGGGCATGTTTGGATTTCACCACTTGTTGATGAAAAATATTAGTCAGTTGGGAGTACTATTCCCAACATATAAAAAACATGTTCCAAACCACAAACCAGTTATATAATACCCATAGGATCCATGGTGCTGGTATATATGCTAACATTGATCCCATCAATATACCCCAAATGTTAGCGTATATACCATACATAGATCCTATGGGATATATAATATAAGAATATATAAATATATTTCTATGATTAGCCATTGAACAGACTTCACATATCTTCAAATGCTACATACTGCATCTTCCAGCAATCCACCATTTACAATCTCGAGATTAGACTGCTAGCAGTGGCTAGCAGTAGCAGTTGTAGAAGAATTGGAGGCCCATGTTTTCTTTTCTGGTTTCGGATTTTGCCCTTTGCCTGTGGATGCTTGCGTGGGTTTCTTGCACTTGGAAGCAACATGATTTGGCGATGCCATGTCCAATGTCTAGTTGGCAGTACATCATGTCCATCAATATGCCATCAATATTAGAACAAGCATGAACAAACACAGCAGTTTCTTCTCTATGGAGAGGGACATTCCTCATAGGGACACTCCTGGAACATTCCCTTTTATTAATTTTAATTCGAAATATTTCAAGTTCATTCCAACTAATGCAATTTCATTCCAAATAATTCTTGTTCATTCCAAAAAATACTTTTGCCGTTCATGTTTTGAAGGTTTTTTCAAATGATGATTTCAAGATTTGTTGTTATTCTTCAAATATTTTCGATTTGTTTTTGTTTTTTTAAATTTTCTTTCTGTTTTTCTTGTTTTTTAAATATGTATTTGTTGTTTTTTGAATTTGATTGATTATTTTTTGTTGGTTTTTTTCATTTTTGGTTTTGTGTTTTGAATTTGTTTGATTTTTTCTCATTTTTTTTTACAATTGGTTTCTGAATTTTAAATTTCATTGTTTGTTGAATTTTGCTGTTTTTTATTTTTTGAACAAATATTTTGCTTTTTGTTTTTTTTCGAATTGTTCGTTTTTCTTTTTTTTTTGGAATTCGTTTTGGAATGCGTGGATTGTTTCTGTTTCAGATTTGATTTTTTGGTTTTTTGAATTTTTGAGAATTTTTCAGATTTATTTTGCAAGGATAGCAACTTTTAGGAGTAGCCCTTTGAGGAGTATCCCAGGGCTCTTTAATGACAGTTTGCAAACACATTAGTATACATTAGTTTGCAGTCAATCTGAACATTCACAATTTTTTGGGGGGGTGCCTCGCTGGGTGCCCCTTGTCACTTTCGCTGGGATTCGGACCAAACGCATTGGCCTCACTACTCTTGGCCCAAGCATCCGCTGAGCCCCATTTTTTGCGGCATACATGAAGTTTCAATGGGATAATGATGGGGAGAAAATCTGTGGGTTATAAAAGTTGTATAAGTTATAACAAATGTAACCCATTAATGTCATGGATAAATAAGTTTTGCAGTTATAATTTATAATATAACCATAAATGTAATGTTTAAAACATACCCGATACTTTTTCTCTGAACACTCCCTATCAGCACCAAAAACAATATCCAATGTGGAAAGCGCATCTTTCTGGACTGGAGCTGCATGCACCATTGTCAATTCCTACTGCGGATCTGTTCCACTGCAAGAAATTTTTGCCACACACAGTTGACATGTGTCTGTCCAAAAAAAAATACCCAAAAATGAATGCTTTGTCATCTTTCCCCGATACAGTATTGCAACTTGCAGTTTAGGTTCTTCCAGCACAAATTGCGGAATCGCGAAAAACAAACCCTGCTGCAGCTGGTGCGGGCCCTTTCTTTCACTCGAGATTTACATCTCACATCCTAAGCAGTCCTTCAACCTCTTCAGAAACATTTCGAACGCCTTTCTGCGTTCGCATGAGGCATCTTGCCATCTTTCTCTTCTCTCCCTAACTGCTCACTGTGTAGACTACTCCGACTGGCTTTTTGCCAGAATTTAAAAGAAAGCAACCTGCAACATCCTTGAGCTGTGATCAGCAATGATCAAAAACACTCAGACTGAGACTACTTTCAAAACAAGGCTGTTCGATGACGTGAAAGTTCAAGATTGTTGCATTAGGCCTGTTCATGACCTTTGACAGTAGTGTGCAAAGACATATGCGGTGCATGTCAATTTGCAAGCAAAATCTATCCTAGATGTGGCAAAGTGCTAAATTGTGCAAAATTGTGCAAAGTGCTACTGTGTCATGCACCGACGCGATCAAAACGGCTTGGACCACCGGCTGATGCCTTAAATTGGCTCAGTTTGTCACAGCACACCACGCCTGATGCATGGACATGGCTGAATTGCACTGAAATTCATGACATGAAACGCAGCTGCTTGTAGTGACTTTTCCAGGAAAGCAAAATCTTTCTCTCATCTGCTTGCCTGCCCACGACACCTTTGCAGGTGACATCTGTCAGGTTCGCACTTCCCTGTTCAGCTTGGAAAAGATGGAAAAGGATCCAAACAATGGATCAAGTACATACAAGTCCAGTACATGTAAGTACCAAACGACTGCACAAGTACATGAGAGCAACACAATTTTCACTGATCAGAGTATGAATCTCAAGTCAGGAGTTTTGTTCAAACATGAATCCGACACATGCAGCCTATGCTTCGTGGCTGAAACGGCACTCATCTCCAAACTTGCAGCTGCCATTGTCTCGGAAGTCGTAGCAGACACCTGACATCATCTGACATCATGACATCATGGTTAAGGTTCCTGGTGTACAGGAATCAGAGTGCCGGTGCTGAAATCAATCCAGCACGATTTGGTCACTGTCTCTGTGCCTAGCCACACTCAGCATCTTAGCCACTTGCCACAGTGATCAGCATCTTCATCCATGCATTAGTTCTTTCAAACAGGATGCATACAATTTCGCCAACGATCCACAACATGCCCGGGCTGCCCTTGCTCTTGCCACCCTTGCCCTTGCTCTTTCCACCCTCCGGGCAGTCTCTGGCCTTGTGACAGATCGCTTTCTGAAGAAAAGATGGGTTTGTCATGTCCAAAACAAAAATGGTTGGTGATCATTTTCTCATGAAAACTGCAACTTTGAGTCACACCACAGTGTTTATTTCCATCCCGTCCAATATCCAAGGCCCGTACAAAGTGGTCTCCTCCACAATTGAAGCACTCAATGGGCTTGCCCTGAATGAAAATGGCAAGGCTTCGCTTGCATTGCAACACCAGTGAAACCTTTTGAAACCTAGAGACTTCGTGAAACAACATTCAGCGAATGGGTACAATCGGTACAAGGCTATCGAATGTGCAGAATAAGGCGAACAGAAGTCTATCACCGGCCTTGCCCTTGCCTTTACCCTTGCTGCCGTCTGGGCAATCTCGGGCCATGTGCTCACCTCACACGGTCCAAATTCTGTCAGTTCTATCTGTCACAGTACGTCAGCTTAACTGACTTCATCCATGATCTGTGGAAAAATGTGTTTGGACATGGTGAGATGTCATCGGGTCATTGGTCATGCCTCCGCACTGCCAGCATTCCATTGGCCCCTGTACAGGTAGACAATGGTAGACAACGGTAGACAAGATCATGAAACTCTCGACTCAGTTGCAACACATACTGACAGTCACATACTACACAGGGAACAGTTCAGAAAAGCAGTTGTCCAAACATCTCGCAACTTGCAAGTTATGGCACAATGGAAAGTGAATTTCAGAAGAGTCTGCCTTGCTTTTGCTCTTGCCCTTGCCCTTACCACCTTCTGGGCAGTCACGGGCAAAGTGGTCACCTACAGCATGCATTCCGAACAGGTCTCATCAATGCTGAAAGAATCTTCAAAGACTGCAAGTTTCTGCAAGCTGAGGCAGGATACAGCAAGAGCATCAGGCCTCCGCAATTAAAGCAGTTGATTGGTCCTCCCATGGCAGTCAATCAAAGGCCTCAAAGACAGAGTCAGATCCGCCAGATATGCTATGCAAGGAATGTGCTCAGAATGTAGTATCAAACAACAAGACTACAAGAAACAGCAGCTTCGTTCTTGCCGACAAGTTGCAGTGCAAGTGGAGAGAAAGCAACGGAACGGAACAAAGTTGGCTGTCTTGGGTCAGAATTGCAAGGGACAAAGGAGGGAGACAAGGGCAATGACCAGTGTGGGTGAAGAATGCCTGCGAAAATCTCATGTTCATACGGCAAACAAACCCTGCTGTAGCTGGTGCGGGCCCTTTCTTTCACTCGAGATTTACATCTCACATCCCAAGCAGTCCTTCAACCTCTTCAGAAACATTTCGAACGCCTTTCTGCGTTCGCATGAGGCATCTTGCCATCTTTCTCTTCTCTCCCTAACTGCTCACTGTGTAGACTACTCCGACTGGCTTTTTGCCAGAATTTAAAAGAAAGCAACCTGCAACATCCTTGAGCTGTGATCAGCAATGATCAAAAACACTCAGACTGAGACTACTTTCAAAACAAGGCTGTTCGATGACGTGAAAGTTCAAGATTGTTGCATTAGGCCTGTTCATGACCTTTGACAGTAGTGTGCAAAGACATATGCGGTGCATGTCAATTTGCAAGCAAAATCTATCCTAGATGTGGCAGAGTGCTAAATTGTGCAAAATTGTGCAAAGTGCTACTGTGTCATGCACCGATGCGATCAAAACGGCTTGGACCACCGGCTGATGCCTTAAATTGGCTCAGTTTGTCACAGCACACCACGCCTGATGCATGGACATGGCTGAATTGCACTGAAATTCATGACATGAAACGCAGCTGCTTGTAGTGACTTTTCCAGGAAAGCAAAATCTTTCTCTCATCTGCTTGCCTGCCCACGACACCTTTGCAGGTGACATCTGTCAGGTTCGCACTTCCCTGTTCAGCTTGGAAAAGATGGAAAAGGATCCAAACAATGGATCAAGTACATACAAGTCCAGTACATGTAAGTACCAAACGACTGCACAAGTACATGAGAGCAACACAATTTTCACTGATCAGAGTATGAATCTCAAGTCAGGAGTTTTGTTCAAACATGAATCCGACACATGCAGCCTATGCTTCGTGGCTGAAACGGCACTCATCTCCAAACTTGCAGCTGCCATTGTCTCGGAAGTCGTAGCAGACACCTGACATCATCTGACATCATGACATCATGGTTAAGGTTCCTGGTGTACAGGAATCAGAGTGCCGGTGCTGAAATCAATCCAGCACGATTTGGTCACTGTCTCTGTGCCTAGCCACACTCAGCATCTTAGCCACTTGCCACAGTGATCAGCATCTTCATCCATGCATTAGTTCTTTCAAACAGGATGCATACAATTTCGCCAACGATCCACAACATGCCCGGGCTGCCCTTGCTCTTGCCACCCTTGCCCTTGCTCTTTCCACCCTCCGGGCAGTCTCTGGCCTTGTGACAGATCGCTTTCTGAAGAAAAGTTGGGTTTGTCCAAAACAAAAATGGTTGGTGATCATTTTCTCATGAAAACTGCAACTTTGAGTCACACCACAGTGTTTATTTCCATCCCGTCCAATATCCAAGGCCCGTACAAAGTGGTCTCCTCCACAATTGAAGCACTCAATGGGCTTGCCCTGAATGAAAATGGCAAGGCTTCGCTTGCATTGCAACACCAGTGAAACCTTTTGAAACCTAGAGACTTCGTGAAACAACATTCAGCGAATGGGTACAATCGGTACAAGGCTATGGAATGTGCAGAATAAGGCGAACAGAAGTCTATCACCGGCCTTGCCCTTGCCTTTACCCTTGCTGCCGTCTGGGCAATCTCGGGCCATGTGCTCACCTCACACGGTCCAAATTCTGTCAGTTCTATCTGTCACAGTACGTCAGCTTAACTGACTTCATCCATGATCTGTGGAAAAATGTGTTTGGACATGGTGAGATGTCATCGGGTCATTGGTCATGCCTCCGCACTGCCAGCATTCCATTGGCCCCTGTACAGGTAGACAATGGTAGACAACGGTAGACAAGATCATGAAACTCTCGACTCAGTTGCATCACATACTGACAGTCACATACTACACAGGGAACAGTTCAGAAAAGCAGTTGTCCAAACATCTCGCAACTTGCAAGTTATGGCACAATGGAAAGTGAATTTCAGAAGAGTCTGCCTTGCTTTTGCTCTTGCCCTTGCCCTTACCACCTTCTGGGCAGTCACGGGCAAAGTGGTCACCTACAGCATGCATTCCGAACAGGTCTCATCAATGCTGAAAGAATCTTCAAAGACTGCAAGTTTCTGCAAGCTGAGGCAGGATACAGCAAGAGCATCAGGCCTCCGCAATTAAAGCAGTTGATTGGTCCTCCCATGGCAGTCAATCAAAGGCCTCAAAGACAGAGTCAGATCTGCCAGATATGCTATGCAAGGAATGTGCTCAGAATGTAGTATCAAACAACAAGACTACAAGAAACAGCAGCTTCGTTCTTGCCGACAAGTTGCAGTGCAAGTGGAGAGAAAGCAACGGAACGGAACAAAGTTGGCTGTCTTGGGTCAGAAGTGCAAGGGACAAAGGAGGGAGACAAGGGCAATGACCAGTGTGGGTGAAGAATGCCTGCGAAAATCTCATGTTCATACGGCAAACAAACCCTGCTGTAGCTGGTGCGGGCCCTTTCTTTCACTCGAGATTTACATCTCACATCCCAAGCAGTCCTTCAACCTCTTCAGAAACATTTCGAACGCCTTTCTGCGTTCGCATGAGGCATCTTGCCATCTTTCTCTTCTCTCCCTAACTGCTCACTGTGTAGACTACTCCGACTGGCTTTTTGCCAGAATTTAAAAGAAAGCAACCTGCAACATCCTTGAGCTGTGATCAGCAATGATCAAAAACACTCAGACTGAGACTACTTTCAAAACAAGGCTGTTCGATGACGTGAAAGTTCAAGATTGTTGCATTAGGCCTGTTCATGACCTTTGACAGTAGTGTGCAAAGACATATGCGGTGCATGTCAATTTGCAAGCAAAATCTATCCAATTCTCTTCTTCATTGTGGCAAAATTGTGCAAAGTGCTACTGTGTCATGCACCGACGCGATCAAAACGGCTTGGACCACCGGCTGATGCCTTAAACTTGGCCCAGTTTGTCACAGCACACCACGCCTGATGCATGGCATGGATTGCACTGAAATTCATGACAGCGGATGCATCAGGATAAGACAAGGAGGAATGAACAGTACTGATATTGATACATTATTGTAGCAATTCTTGCACAGCAAACTAGATCTTTCTGTCATCTGCTTGCCTGCCCACGACACCTTTGCAGGTGACATCCGTCAGGTTCTCTTCCCTGTTCAGCTTTGAAACGTATGTTGAAACTTGGGCAAGTACAGTACATGCAAGTACGCAGCGACTGCACAAGTACATGAGAGCAACACCTTTTTCACTGATCAGAGTATGAATCTCAAGTCAGGAGTATAGTTTTGTTCAAACATGAATCCGACACATGCAGCCTATGCTTCGTGGCTGAAACGGCACTCATCTCCAAACTTGCAGCTGCCATTGTCTCGGAAGTCGTAGCAGACACCTGACATCATCTGACATCATGACATCATGGTTAAGGTTCCTGGTGTACAGGAATCAGAGTGCCGGTGCTGAAGACATTGGTCCCCTGATTGCCCAAGACTAGCGCGGGCCCTCGCGGGACCGCGGGCTCGCGGGCTTATACGGGCCCATCGCGGGCTTGCGGGCCCACGGTTTGCGGGCCTGAGGGTCTTCAGGTCGGCATTTTATCGGGTATATTTGAACGGTTTGGATCGATCACTTTGAGCATATATCACCTGGGGAAACGTTGGGATCACTTTGGTCATAGATTGGGATCACTTTGGTCCTAAATCACAACGCATGGGTCACAGAGGATCACGTTGGGCACAAATCGGGATCACTTTGGGCATAAACAACAACACCTTTAGGGTCTGACACTTAGGGGACAGGGGGCGGGACACGGGGACAGTTGGGGACAAGGGACAAGGGACAAAGTCACATCACCATTCATCACAACACTTTTACACTGATGCTTAGGGGCAGGGACAAGGGACAAAGCCACATCACCATTCATTACAACACCATATCACCATTGTCTGCGAAACTCCACAACATGTATGTGGCTGGCCTGCCGCGCGTCTTCACTGAGCATTTCGTCTTTACAGTCTCCGATAATGAGTAACACGGATTAAGCAAACGGACAGCTTTTGTTGCTGGGACTTATCGCTCTTAATCCTCTGCTGTTATAATTGCGTCCAAACTCTGTGGCTTCTAAATTTGCACCGCAGCATGGGGCACCTATCTCACTACATGTTATCTGTAACTCACATTCGGAGCTGTACAACTCTGGCAACTTCCTGGTAATTCATTGGACAGCAGTAAGAAGACGAGTGTCTCTCTCCATATATATATATATATATGTATATATTTATATATAATGAATATATGTATATATATATATACTCAGTGCTCTGCATAAGAACCCAGCGAATATTGTTCTCAAACAAGCGGAAGGAACAGATAACTTTTGTTGCATGTGGAGACACCGTTGAAGTCTCAAGTCTTCATATTGAAGCCGACCAAAATAGTCGACAACCAAAAACTTCAAACCGACACTGGAAAGGAATGAAGAAAGTCTTCGTATTACACTTACCAGCATTACTCACGGTTTTGCCCGGCTCCACGCGTGTACCACTTGCACCTGGCCACGCTCGTATTACCTAGATGCACATTTTTCCGCCTCACGGTCATGCCTTCTCCTCTCTATTATTGTGAGCCTTACAAGCATTACACGCGGTTTTTCCCACTCTTGCGCACGTATCCCCCTTGCACCTCAACACGCTCATCTTACCTAATGTGCGCCTGTTCCTGCGCCTGATGCAAGCCTTCTCCACAATGTTGTCCGCCGCACACGCATGACGCACCAACTTGCCCAGTCTGCCACACATCGTGCACTTGCACCTGAACGCACCCATCTGATTTTACTGGCACACACTATCGCACCTAACGCCTCGCACACGCCTTTTCCCCTCTGATGCCTGCCGTGCACGCATTATGCACAAAGGTGCCCAGTGCACCAACAGTTTACGGCCGGAGCGATCCAAAATTCATGCGCGTAGCGATCCTAATTTCACGCCCGAAGCGATCCTGAATTTACGCTCAAAGCGAACCCGCGCCCGTATACTTTCTCGCGTTTTATCTGGCATCTGTTTCTGGCACATCTTTTGACATTCTTTCTGGCATTCCAACCATCTTTTTCACACATAATATCTGGCATATGTTGACATTGTCGGATCCGCGCGTTCTATCTGGCATATCTGTTGGCATTCTGGCACATCTTTTCACATTGCTTTTGGCATTCTATCTGGCATAACTTCTGACAATTGTTGCTGCCATGCTATCTGGCATCTCTTTCGGAATTCTTTCTGGCATATGTGGCTACTGTACCTTCCCACATTGTGGCATTCCACCCCCCAGGCGCTTGCGATCCAGGTCCGGCGGGCAACACTCTGATCCGGGTTTTGCGGTTGAGGTCCGGCGCGGTGAGGAGGACAAGGAGGAGAGGAGTGGTTGACATAGAATCTAACAACCCGGACCATACAGGTGAGAGAAATTGAGAGAAATTGAGGGAACAACACTAACAAAGTGAAAGCACATGAAAGCACGATGCAGGCAGCACAGTCCCTGTCCGCTATGGTGTGAGATTCAATCAAAGGGTATGGTCACGCGGCAGGAAGTTCCAAAGGTTCAAGTAACGAAGGAACTTAAATAATCTCAAACTCGGGCTCTACGGGCTTCGCGGGCTCTATTGGCTTCGCGGGCTCTACGGGCTTCGCGGGCCCTGCGGGCCCGCCAAGGGCCCCGAATTCTTGAGCCCATACCGCGGGCCCCAACCGCGGGCCCGCGGGCCCGGGCACACGGTGAACCATAGCGGTGCTGAAATCAATCCAGCACGATTTGGTCACTGTCTCTGTGCCTAGCCACACTCAGCATCTTAGCCACTTGCCACAGTGATCAGCATCTTCATCCATGCATTAGTTCTTTCAAACAGGATGCATACAATTTCGCCAACGATCCACAACATGCCCGGGCTGCCCTTGCTCTTGCCACCCTTGCCCTTGCTCTTTCCACCCTCCGGGCAGTCTCTGGCCTTGTGACAGATCGCTTTCTGAAGAAAAGTTGGATTTGTCCAAAAAAAAGGGTAACCCAAAATCCAATGGTTGGTGATCATTTTCCCATGAAAACTGCAACTTTGAGTCACACCACAGTGTTTATTTCCATCCCGTCCAATATCCAAGGCCCGTACAAAGTGGTCTCCTCCACAATTGAAGCACTCAATGGGCTTGCCCTGAACGAAAATGGCAAGGCTTCGCTTTGTTTTGCAACAGATGAAAGCACAAAAGCTGTAGTAAGATATGGCTATGGATCAAAACATATCAAAACCATTCAAAACCCTACCCTGCTGAACCCACAAATAGCTGGTTAAATCAATGGATGTTTCTCCCCAAAATATGGGATTTCATAGGTTTTTTTTCCTCACAAGACCTGTGCGATCCGAAACATCAGCGAAATCGCGCCTTGCCCTTGCCTTTGGATCCGGCAATCTTATCGCCACTTGGGCAATCGCGGGCCATGTGGTCACCTTATGGCCGGCAAAATGAGGAAAAATGTGGAAAAATGAGGGAACATCTTTGGAAAAATCTGTGACTGGAGATGAGATGTCATCGATTGTCATGGGTCATGCCTCCGCACTGCCAGCATTCCATTGGCCCCTGTACAGGTAGACAACGGTAGGCAACGGTAGACAAGATCATAAAACTCACATACTACACAGGGAACAGTTCAGAAAAGCAGTTGTCCAAACATCTCGCAACTTGCAAGTTATGGCACAATGGAAAGTGAATTTCAGAAGAGTCTGCCTTGCTTTTGCTCTTGCCCTTGCCCTTACCACCTTCTGGGCAGTCACGGGCAAAGTGGTCACCTACAGCATGCATTCCGAACAGGTCTCATCAATGCTGAAAGAATCTTCAAAGACTGCAAGTTTCTGCAAGCTGAGGCAGGATGCAGCAAGAGCATCAGGCCTCCGCAATTAAAGCAGTTGATTGGTCCTCCCATGGCAGTCAATCAAAGGCCTCAAAGACAGAGTCAGATCCATGAAAAGTGGCCGCTTTCACTGCCCCCACTGCCAGGAATGGCTCCATACCCTTGCTGACAAGTTGCTGTGCAAGCGCAGAGAACTCTTTCTGAACGGAACAAAATCGGGTTTTCTGGAGCCAATGGGGCCGATAGGATGATAACAGATGATAGCATGATCGAGTCAATGAGTAAACCCATGGCCGTTGAGCCGGTTGTCTTCACGAAAGCGGTTGGCCCCGGCGGCCGTCCTGGCGACCTTTGCTTTTTGATCTGCCGGCACAACTTCTTCAACGCTGAAAAACTATCTGATGGCTCCCACTATGTGTCAAGCCACTGATAGACACATGTAGTTGGTAAAAACAGAACATGCTGCAAGTTTTTTTTTGAAATGGCTAAGTTGCCGAATCTCCAAACATCTGCTAAACGGAAGATTTTTTTTTTGCCGGTGCAAGTTGTGTTATATATCCCTTTCTTAATGTTGCTGTTGGTTGCTGTTGGTCTTCTGTTGATCCAATCCTTTGGAAGAATCCCAGTGATCATCACCGGAATGCCGCGAGAGATTCCAAGGGCCCAGTGATGCTGTACCTGTGTCCTTTCGTCGCATGGCCCCACACATCTGCACGGGCGTTGGTTCCTGGCCGAAAAAGTTGTCCCTAAAAATAGTGGGGACAAAAGCCTTGTTTTTGTATACCGTTTATAGACCGTTATAGCCCAAATTTCAAGGCTTCGCAGTTTATATCAGTTTATCAGGAGTTTATATCAGTTTCTCACCATATTATCACTGATTCACCTCGAAATTCACCTCGAAATTGCCCTGAAAGTTTCTTCAGCATATCTCCACTCCATCAGGAAACACGTCCTCCGAAACCGAAGGATGACACGCCCGTGAGGCCGCTGTTTGCACCTGAGTGCTGAGCATTGCTGAGCCGTCTGTGTCAGCCATGGATAGCCATGGGTAGCCATGGTCCAAGGATCTGGGGTTATGGCCATAATCGATGAGCTCGGACTCGAAATACACGGGATAACCTGCGCAGAAAAAGTCGGAGCTGAGCGAAAAAAACTGGCGACCCAACTGGCTGAATGGTGCAGATTCGTTGAGTTTGGGATCTCGGTGCACGAAAAGACCCAGCCTGCCACATCCAAGTGAGGATTCAGCACGAAAAGATGAACGTTAGGAGCTCCAGCAGAGTAGTTCAACATGCAAATGCATTTGATCAAACCTGCCCGCTGCCATTGAGGTCACAGCCACATGCCACGCTCCGAACATTTACAGGAAACCCATGGGACACCCCGAATTCTTTGTGGATGGTGGGGAAAAACATGTAAAAACCCTGGTTTCATGCAACATGTCCCTTTCAACTTGAATCAACTTTAAGTTGCCGTTGTTCACCCAGCTGCCTTCCGTCACAGCATAGTTTCAGTCACTTTCGGGGTACTAACCTAGTTGCATTCCATCAATTTCTCAAGTTGTCTGGCACATCGCTGATCAAAATCATCAACTTTCACCAACTTTCATCAAATTTCATTGATTTCCAGCCATGTTCATCAGCCACGTTCCAGCCTTTTTCATGGCCAGCCGTGTCTCCCATGTCTCTCATGTCATGTCATGCGGCCTGCCATCCCCGCACCAGCTTCCAAGTGCCCCATATTGGTCTTGGAACTGGTCTTCAAGATGGGAACGCTGCGATCCGCTCGCATCACCTGTGTGGGAACGCGGCTTTGTGCAAAAAACAACACGAAACAAAGGCACCGGAACGGATGGACGGATTGGATGGTTTTGTTTTTGTTTGTTTACATGGTAATTTATGTATATTTATGTAATTTGATAACTTTTGCCCATGCCCAAAAATCTTTGAAATTCTTCAGCATACTTAATGATTAATGTCAAAAATGATGGTTTCTCTTTTGCTCAAATGCTGAGCCATGTCCATCTGGCGGCTCAGGCTCCACCGGATTAAGCTGCCGACCCCTCGCAAGGCTCCAATCTCAATGGGATCTCCCAATGCAGTCCCTAGCAGCGCGCAGCGCTTGAGTCGAGTATCTTGAGTGATTCGTTTGGTGAGGGAACAAACTGCAAACAGAATCAATATGCTTAGACCCAAAGAACAACCACATCCCATTGACTCAAGCTTCCCAGTTGGAGGTATTCCAAAAACACCCCAAAAAGGGGGTTGATGATAAGTTTTACTATCATTATGCTTCACTGACAACGTCTTCAAGCAACCTCTTCTCCCCAAAAAACTACAGGCATGGCAGGGACAATAGCATCCTGCTATATGTTTTCACCTGTCAAACCTCAAGCCTGTCTTCAAGACAAGGGAAAAAATACCCTAGGGGCAAACAAAAAAAACCTCATGCGAATGGGGGGATGTACATTATTCGCCCTTCACCGGCAGCACCAGCTGGCACCTGTTCCATGGCACTCAGCAATGGTGATCATGTTCGGACTCAGTCCAGCCTGTGCCGCCAAGGCTTTCGAAACCTCCAATTCTTGGATACGCCGACAAAAAAAAACATGGCCTGCTGGTCACATACTTTTCCGCATGTCATCCCATTCCTAATGGATAGATATGGATAGATATGGATAGATATGGATAGATATGGATAGATATGGATAGATATGGATAGATACGGATAGATATGGATAGATTCCCTTTTTTGAGTGAAATCAAAAGTTCCACTGTTTCCAATACCCATTTGAACAAAGTGGGGAATCCACAAAGCTAAAGGCTTCACACAACCCCAGTGGATGACCATTGGAACATCCCCGTCTTGACAAGAAATGGGTTCACACTTATCAATGAAATATAAGTTATAATATACCCGGCCTGGTAAACATACAAAAAACTATGGAAAGATCCACCATTTTTAATGGATAAATCCACTATAAATGGCCATTTTCAATAGCTATGTTTGTTTACCAGAGGGTAATGGGATATAAAAGGTGTACTGTATCTATGTTGTTTTACTTCTTTTGAATAGAATATTCATGTGGATGTAGTTGGTTTGATATACTATTAGCCTTAGTCCTATCTTTGGCATTCCATTCAACACCCGCAAAAAATGATGGGACATGATGGGAACATTCATGGAGATATAGTTGGTTTTATAGCTGGGATATGCTATAGATTGTGTAATTGGGTATCCCTTTTAAGTTTTCAAACAGAATCTCCCCATACACGCTCATAGTTGGAAGATAAACTACAAACAATCACCATAATTAGGCTAATCATAGTTTATGCAAGCTTATACACATACTATATTTGGATATTATTATCCCAATGATTGAATACATATCCCATTTTGATAATTATTGGGATAACTACGTTGGATAATTATGTTTGGATAATGATGTTGGGATATTGACACCAAGTAAGAAAACATTACCCAACATAATTATCCCAACACCATTGGACACAATAATTATCCCAACTATAGGATGCCAATCCTTACAAGTAGATAGAATAGATATGTATATAAATATATATATATAGTATATATATAAATATACCATTTGGAAAATCATTATAATTATCTTGGGTCGGTGATAGCGCTATCCACATGAGTTAGATACCCACTACCCACCAAAAGTTGGACACACACTGGGATACACACCGCAGCCGCACCCGGCCTCTCTCATTGACTGTCGAATGACTTCCTGCTGAGATGGACCTGAACAGAAAGATAAGGACATGTTTAGGTATGCAGGTACAAATGGATATAATATATGGATATAATATGTGGATGTAATTTTGATGCAATATACATATATATATATAGAAATAATATAGTGTATTTGATATATCACATAAACAAACTCATATTGTAAAAGTCATATTGCACATGTGCATATATGTACATATTATAGGGTGCAGATTTGTTTTGTTCTTTTTGGGGAGGAGAGGATTTGTTTTAGTCTGGGGCACGTTTCCATGCTATTCGCTGCATTTTGGAGCTAGAATCTCTCATGCGCGCGTTTCATCACTTTTCCAAAAAGTTTTCATTGATTTTCTGGTAGTTTTCTGTCAATAAACACATATAATTTGGATAATATATGATAATATATATATGTATATTGTCTGTATCCAAGAGCTATCGTCTGTAGAAGAGGTTTGGAGAAAGCGGAAATTGAAAACGTCAGAAACACGCAAATGCGGAAATTGATCACACGTATTTATCGAATAATGTCGGAAATTCGGACATGCCATGGTCCCAAATTCTTGTGATTAGTTGAAATACTGAAATGGCCGGACTGTTTTGCCGGAAACTATTCTTTGCCACAATATACAAGTTTGCGCTGCAAACAGCCAATGAACAATTTCTGGCGCATTTTTGAGATGTTGGATATGTTCACTGGACCGCAGCAAGAGGATATGAAGTGTGTGTGTGTGTGTGCGCGCCGCGGCTTGCAAAGCGTGAGCTTGATTGGATCAAAAACGACGAAGAAAAGCGTACGTACCAAGCTGTCCTCTGGGACATGGGTATGAGCTGTGTTTGGCTGGCAGCCGGACGTTTCTGCGGCTTCAGAGACATGCAGACCGACGTGCGCAGTGCGTGTTTGAGCCCTTCCTGCGATAAAGAGAATGTAGCCCAAGCAGTATCAAAAACGGATATTGGAGCTCGCTTCTAGGAGGTGCAGAATGATCACTAGAAAATCAAATCTGAGTTAGCCATGGGTGAAAAACAGTGTTTTTTCCCCACCTGCCAGGCCCGGGTGCAGTGGGCCATGTCGGGACCCGCGCCAGCTCCGGTAGGGCCACGACTGGACTCGAACAGAGCCGATGACACAGAGCCGATGACAGAGCCGATGCCAGAAAGACTGCCGGAGGAAGAATGTCAAACATATTATGCCAAATAGAATGCGAGAAAGAATGTGCGAACAAATGTCAGAATGGCAGAACAAATGCCGGGTATAGACGAATGCCAGAAGGAATGTCAGAAAGAATGTCCGAATAGATGCGAGAAAGACTGCCAGATATATCGAATGCCAGAACATATATGTCAAATAGAATGCCAGATAATGTCAGAACATATGTCAGATGGAATGCCAGAAAGAATGTCAGAAAGAATGCCAGAAGAAATGTCAGAATATGTGCCGGAAAATACGGCAGATAGAATGTCAGAGCATTCGCCAGAAAGAGTGTTAGATAGAATGTCAGAGTATATGCCAAACAAAATGCCAGCTAGAATGTCAGAATGAATTTCGGCGGGTCATATGTCAAAAACTATGTCAAACTAGCGTGTCAGGACGGGGATCACCCGAAGAGAGTAACTTGAGAAGGGGGGACACGAAAGGCAGTTGTGTCGCAGGTGACGCAGGTGAGTGATGATAATAAGATGGCAGGGTGGGTGGTCGATGCTCTGTGCTGCTGCTGCTGCTGCTGATGATGATGATGATGATGACGATGTTGATGATGATGATGATAATGCAGGGCCACTTGACTCAATCGATGCTAACCCTGGTGCACTAAATCCCTGATGGTGCAAAATCATCAGTGGCTCCGACCTTTTCCTTCTCACATGTGTGCTAAACGTCAGAATGCCATAACAAGGCAATCAAAAATCCACTAATTGTTCCACTTGTTGTAGATGATCCATATGTTGAAAATGAATATTATCCGTTGGTGTCTTGGATTATCAGAGGGATCCAGAAAAATATAGCCGTGGTTCAAAAAGTTGCTGCCTAGCTACCATCCAAGTTAGACTCTCATGGGTGGGAGTTATTCCGAACATGGTATCATGGGCCATATGATCATCAAATAAACATCAGAAACATTAATAATTCATAAACAACCGAGCGCTTGGGTAAACGTATGACGACGATGATGACAATGATGATCATGATGATGACGATGATGATGATGATGACGATGAGGATGATGATGATGATGATGATGACGATGTTGAGCCATTCAGAAAATCATCCGCGGTCCAAATGGAAGGAAGGTACCATATATGATCTGGGGAGGGGGGGGGACGGGGGGGAGGGTGGGGGGTCCCTTTCTCCTGGTCGTTCAGGGATAAGGGGTCCAGCCCACCCCTTTGCTTCGCAAAGTAAAACTCAAGGTAGCCCGTTGGGAGGCTACCTTTCGTGATTTGAATTTCTGCTCAAAGATTGATTCAACGTGTTTGAATTACTGAATTTCTGCCTGGTGCTTCTTAACGGAGATAGCAAGCACCCAGTGCTTGTTAACTCAAGATAAGCGGCCCCTGGCGGAAATTCAGAAATTATATCTGGAAATGTGCAACAAGTTGGCAGGAATGACGAAATTCCTGAAGCCAGAAAAAATGCCAAATAGAATGTCAGAATGTTTGCCAAATATGTCAAAAAATATGTCAAAATAGCGTGTCAGTAATTAGGCACATATACCTCCACACCGCACCTATAGTTTACATATGTGCCAAGAATGCGGTTTGGAAATCATGGATTTTCACCCACATATTTCGATGGTTTCCACATGTCTGAATTACTGCCTGACTGAATCTCCATGGTCAATTTCTGAATTATTAATTTCCGACGAAGCCCATTTCTGACTTTGAATTGTTGGCTCTACAGAAAAGGACGTTTTATAGGCTCTTGGATTCGCTCAATATATATATAGTACACATTTATATACATACAGTATCATACAGTATATACATTATGAAGTCACACATCCAAACATCTAGTCTCTAATGGAATACTTGCCTTGGCTGTGGAGGATTTGGAGGGGTGAGTCATGTATCCACATGCTGAAGGGCAAAACCAGAAACATCATGCCCATGATCACCCAATTCAGGCAGCCAAAACATCTTGGGCGGGGTAAACCCATATTATAACCCATTAAAAAAAAACATATAAATCCATATATATATATAAATCCATATATATATATATACCGCATCTTTGGGGAAGGATTCCCCAAAGATGGATCACCACTGGTCATTTGTCACCCGGACCGTGAGGAGCTGTCATGGAGGCACTTCGACCGTCCTGCGATGTCTCGATGTCGAAAATCGTCGAAAATCATCGAAAATTCATGGAGATCCATTAAAAGATCCCTGAAACATCCAGCCAAAAAGTAACTTTGGCCAATCAAAAAGAGTCAACAAAAAGTCAAAAAAAAATGCCCATTTTCTCCGGAGTTTTCAGAATTCATCATTTTGCAGCTGCTTAGAACTTGACTTTGGCCCAGCTCCTGATTGACACTGCAGCCGATGAGCATGGCAACACGTCCAGCTGCTTCAAAGGAATCGTCACACACCTGTCCAATCAGAGACGGTTTAGGTGGGCTGGTTGAAAGTGATACCATTTTAGTGACGAAAATTTCTGGCTGAACCATGGTGAAAAGCTATCTATGACTTTGCAGGGAAACTGTGAAATGACGTCAATCCATAGCCAATCTCTCCGCGGGATAAAAAGGCGCAATGGTCAACATCCATCAAAAATCACCAAAACATATCTGGGTCATGTTGATACCTATAGCAGCATCATGTGACCACCAGATCTACCAACGATTTATCCTGCCCCCAGAAGCCGCCACCTTCAGCTTGATGGAGCCGATACCTGGCAGCCAGGAGAACCGGTCGATCCCACATGATCCGAAAGTCCTCTGAAGATTTTCCACTTTTCCCAAGGACCCCAAAATTGGGGGAAAATGATGGTTTTTCAATGGATAAAACCATCATAATCCATCATAATCCATCATAAACTATCATAATCATCCATGGTAATCCCATATCCCATCATCCATCATAATCCGGATCCGATAAACCTATTCCCCCTATGAAAAATAGCCCCTTTCTATGGTCCCAGGCAAAAAAGCGGTTTCATCCAATAAAACATGGGCCTTCTCCTCGTGCGAAGCCATCAGCTGAATGGTCAAAAGTAAAGCACCTCAACCGGGGCCATGGATAGCAATTAGTGCAATTTTTGAGGATCTATAGAAGCATCCATTTTGGGACAGTTGGCTATTTTCAATGTTATGCTTGGCTCATGAACATCTAAATCCTTAATTGAAGCATATCAAAGCATCCAGCGTTTGTGGGCTTGTTTGTTTAACCCAGAGCCGCCGTGTTCAGCAACAAGCTGGGACAATTTTGCTGCCGATGTCCAGACTTCGGAGCCCTTCAGGCCGCAAGTCACGAGAATTCGCATGGAAATCACCCTTGGTCAAGTAACGCGACAGCACAAGCTGGCAGGTCAGGTCCCAGAAAAATGAGAAAACTCATGTGGGCCCCCCATCAAAAACTACGGTTTGCTGATCTGTCCACGTCAGACCATCACTGCCTTGTGGATATGGATGGCGAAATATGGCAAATTGCCATCATCCCCCGCAAAGCAGTTCTTCCGGCACTTGCCGGACACGAAGTTGCGAGGCCTCCAGTTGAAAAATCTCTTTGAAGTGCTGAAAGCGACAGCGCTGAGCCAGCTGCGACTCAGATGGTGGTGCAGCAACACGTGTTGCTGGTGCAGGGTAAACAGTGAAGAAAGAATCACTTTGATCAGCACTCAGCGAGAATGCCACAGCGCTAATGCTTGTGACCTGGGCTGACTCCAGTGGGTAGGCGTTTTCCATGTGCCGCTGCCATAGAGTGGGAGGAACTCTGAACATAACTGAGGCAAGTTGGTTGCCCAAAGCTCCTGTTTCTGAAGGTGCTGGCGCCAGCTGCAGATCACCAGGTCTCTTGACTTCTTCAATTTAATCATCTCATCCCATTGTTCATCAAAATCACGATCCCAGTAATAGGAAATTCGAAGCAAGCATGGCTCTCCTTCAAATAAATAGCTAAGAAAAATGACCATGAAGAAATCGGCGGCGAACAGCCGAAGATCTCACGGTAGATCTCTCGGACTGTCAAGATCGGGTGAGGACCCTGGAAGATATGGGCACCAAGTGCTTCTTGCATTGAGCTCAAACCAACTACTCTAGGAATCTGATGCGCACTTGGATCACTTGGGGCACGAGAAGGTGCTTGTGGCATGGATCCTGCCAGTAGACGCAGAGGGTCTCCGAAAAGAAGACGTTCATGACTTCTTCCGATTGTTTCTTGAGAATCTGGCACACATCCATGCCGTTCAACTTGGTATGGTCAAAAGTGACATTCAAGAGGGTGCAGGTGCCATCTCCATGCATCACCAACAAGTTAATGATGTCAGCATAGGTGGTGAATCTTGCCGTCTTCTGAATCTCCCGCGCTATCAGCACTGGATCTTGGAGACCCAGAGCAGAGTCCTCATTCGACATGGAGCTCTACCAATAGTAACCTGTGATCTTATCGAAAAAAAACAGATGAAAATTGAAGAATTTAAGGCCCTTGGGATACCTTGGGCATCCTGAAATTCTTGGGCCAAACGGCTATCATTGTCCCATGCTTCCCATCCACTGGGGGCACGACCTGCCCTGATGCGTGAGCATGCCCGGGCCACTCAAGGAGATGTAACCATAGGGTCCGATCAGCGTGTTGCATCCAATCTCGGTGACAGGACTGAGAAGTCTGAAAAAATGTCTGATGAATGATATTTGAATTTGATATTTGAAGCAACCATGACTGGTTGGTGGATTAACCCTACCCTACCCCCCTGAAAAATGATGGAGTGAAAGTCAGATTGGATCATCATCCCAACTATTGGGCAAAATAGAAAATGTTCCAAACCACCAATCAGATGAGCAATCAATCTAAAGTATTCTAAAGTCACAAAGCCAAGAATCAACCTGTAACTGGGATCTACAGCCATTTCTGTTGAAGGACGGTTTATGCCAAGTCTATGCAATGTTTGGTTTCTTTGGGCTTTACACCACCCCATTGCGCAATTCATCATCCAAGCTGGAAAGGATTTTGGGTGACCCAACCACCAGACCGTGCTTCAAATCGGTGGCAATGTTTGGATTCATCTGGTCCTCCAACTTCTGCCTGCAATCGTCACACGTCATCAATGCGACCAATGTGACGAACATGCGGCTGCTTAGCATTTTAGCCTTTTGGGTCTTGTGTTGATGCTAAATTTGCACTATGTTGATCCATTTTGGATCTATTTTGATTTTCGAATGTTTATGGATTGATCTGGATCAGATTATTGATGATTTATGATGATTTACATGGGGAAAAACATGGAAAATCCATGGATCACATGATTCAAAACTTGGGGTTCTCAGGTTCTCCCATTGAAATTCTGCATCGCCTCATGGTCATCTGCGCAATTCCCAGAGCCACCAGAGACGAAGAACCTTGGACATGTTGCTGGTTTGGGGCTTCGGCCAGCGATTCGCGAAGCTAACCCTGGGACCACCCTGGGCTCCCAACAAGCCGTCTCAGCAGTGGATGTAGGACCAGTGAGCCCAAAAATGTGCGACATCCGATTTGCAGCCGCTGATCGCTCCCTGTGCAAAAAAAAGGGGAACATTTGTAAATAGGAACAAAAAACTATTCATTTGATAGTTGAATTGTATAATATTGTATAATCAATGGATACCAGTCATGGAAGGGTTGTGATTGGGCAGGTGAAGTATCACAACGAATGATTCTGTCATGGTCATCATGGATGTTCACAGCGAAGCAAATGGATGCATCGATGCAGCTTCAGCGCTTCAGCTTAGCCCATGCCAGCTCAAAATATCGAGATCCCAAAAACGATCAAAAAACGATAGAAAAGACTATAGTCTACTATTCTCATGGTGTCCCAGTGGATGAACTCCCGTCCTCCCCGCGAAGACCACCGGTCGGTTGCGAAGGTCGGTCTGATGAACACTGTCCCAGTCTGAACCTCCATTTGGGGATGGCTCATGGCACCGTGGTACCGTGAAACCCAAGTCATAGCTGGGATTTATGGATAGTGAACCCCAAGTCATAGCTGGGATTTATGGATGTTCATCCCAAAATAGCTGGGATTTATGGATGTGAATAACCATGAATAACCCACTATAGTAATGTATCTATAGCTATTGACCCATACCCATTTCTGGCCAATGGCCCAATGGCCCAATGCTGCGATGTGAGATGATGAGATTTTTTCAGAAAAGTCACGACTGGTCATGTGATCGAAAGAGATTCAGATCTGATGAACATATGAATGGATATTGGAACATCACATTTTCTGGATTTCTTTGATATGGAACATATTGCAACATATTGCAACATATTGCAACAACACATGGATCCCTTTCTCTTCGTAAAGACTATGACTTGCAAGACTTGTCTGGAAAATTGGAAAGGATGTGATGGACCAGGCTGCCAACACAGTTGATAAACACAGCGACACTCTGTGTGTTTCATTTGGCTGCCACCGAATTTCCAGGGGATTTATGATTTATGTATGATTTATAAACCAAATAAACAAACCAATAGACAACCCAAGAAAGAAGCCAGTTCTGGCAGCTTAAACCAATCCAACCGCCGCCTGAATCGCCCACGAACACACCGCACTTGAAATTCTTCAGCTCGTTCTTTCGATGTCCCGCATTATGCAGGGCTTCGTAGCCCACCTGAGACATGGAATAGCCTGGATCCTGTTCAAACTTGGTGAACCATGGTCAAAAGCACGTGCTCCAAAATCGAAATTGGGGATCTGCAAATTTAGATCCTGGATGAAAAAAATATTGAAAAATATATGCCCCTAAATCTCCTGAACATTTCCTGGACTTCTTATACTTCTTGCGGGATTAAGTGCAACCCTCAGGTCGAACCCTCCAAGCCGTGGAGTCAGTTCACCGCACGTGCCTCCAACATGCATCGCATGTAGGGTGCCATTTCCTGTGCCTGAAAAAAACCGCGAAAAACGAACATCGAAAAACGTCGCTGCTGCGGTCTCTCTTCCAAGGTCTGTGAGTTCTTTGCAGTTCTTACTGAACAACAAAAAACTGCTCGCGAAGTCGTCGAAACCGCATTCTATGATCCAACATGGCGTAATATGTCCAGCATCCACCGACTCTGTTTGCTGACGGGAATCGCAAATGGTCTGAGAGGATCAATCTATGAATCTTCCCAAAAAAAAAGTTTTGGATCTGCCAGAGGAAAAGCCTCCCAGCCCGCTGGTGAAAACCAGTACCTCTTTTGCATCAATGCCGAAGAACTGGTTGTCGAAGAGCTCAATTTCCGACTGGATCAGGTGACCACGGAAAAGAGCGATGCTGAGATGGGTAGCATCCCCCCAGTCTGATGGTTGCAGCCATTGGAAAGGCCGATGGATTCTGAGAGATTCTGATTTTGAAGCTCCAAATTTGGACCAAAACTGACGAACATCATCCATCAGACATCATCCAACATCTCGCCCTTCACCAGCCACAACCGGAGAAACCACCTGTTGAAGTGTGGCGCCGTGGCAGGTCATTGAAAAGCCGATGGTGTGCTCCGCCCTGTCGCAGATGTTGACAGGTCACAGTTCCATTTGAAAAAAAGGTGGATTTTCCCTGGAAATCGTGGAAACTATAATTCTTAGTGGAAACTCATCTTCCAACCCCGCAGATTCTGGCAGGGTCGAAGTGTTTTTATTTACCAGAGGGTAACATCATCATACATCTACTATCTGGTACTATCTGGTACTATCGATAGGTACTATCTGGTACTATCTGGTACTATCTGGTACTATCTGGTACTATCTGGTACTATCTGGTACTATCTGGTACTATGTCATCTCTGGGGTCACAAAATTTAAGTGGAACACATTGCTGGCTGCAGGCGAAGGAACAATGGGCTTCGGGAGATTTTGGGGCTCGGTGTCAGAGTCCTTGTTTCATATGGAGCTTTCGACGCACGACTTATGGGGGATCCTTTGAAAATCACCATGGATTTCAATACATTTCAATACATTTCAATACATTTCAATACATTTCAATACATTTCAATACATTTCAATACATTTCAATACATTTCAATACATTTCAATACATTTCAATACATTTCAATACATTTCAATACTACCCTCTGGTAAACAGTCCCAAAAAACTATATGGAAAGATCCACCATGCTATCAATGGCTAAATCCACTATTTCGACTGGGCCATGTTCTTTTGTTCGCATCAGTAGCTTTTTGATGCTTTTTGTATGTTTACCAGAGGCATCCAGAGGCCAATATGGCCAATTTTCATCCAAATTTCCACTGGATCCAGGAACCATCCAGAAATTTCCACCTGTAATAGATCTCGGTGTCCCATCGCTGCAGCGGCACCTTCACCTGCCGTAGCATCAACTCGACTCAGTGGACATGAGCTGGATGGACAATCATGAGTATATCATATAATATATATATATATATCTTCCATACATTATTGCATGGAAATATATATATATATATGATTATGCTGGGTATGATAGATGATCGTGTTAAACATCTTGTGTTTCAATAGATGGGAACTGATAGATGATGGACCATGCGATAGAATGGAGACAATCCCAATATCGCCCAGCCTGTGTGTCGCCGCCAGCCACAAGCATATTCCAGTATGCCTGGTCAAGGGGTAAAAACATTAAACAACAACAAACTGCGACGACAACAATAAACTGTTTCACAACCTCCAGCAAATCCATCATGAACATAACTTCACAACAGTGTTTCTCAATTTATCATGATTCGAAAAACATGAAGAGATATGGCCTGGACTTAGATCTAAGAGTAGATGACATACCCTCTGGTTGTTTAACATAGCCATGGTATAGATGGCCCATAGAAATAGATGGTTTACCGAACTTCAAAATGGGCGGTGGATCTTTCCATGGCAAACTGGCAATGTCATAACCAGAGGGTATTTCTAAGAAAACCAACAGTTTCTCATGGAAAGATCCACCCATTTTGCCATGGAAATACCATGGAAATACCATGGAAAACCAACAGTTTCTTCGATCTGAACATCATTGAACCTCATCAGATTCCGCTTTTCCCAAGCCCCAATGACTTCCACCACATTGCCCCATTGCACTTAGAGCCGCCTGCACTTGGAAGCCAAGGCCGGGGTATCTTGTGTGGACCTCAGTTTTGAGTCCTCCCCATATATGTACTATATCTATCATTGTAAATGATTATCATTATTATTAACAATCATCAATATGATCATCATCACTATTATAATCTACTATTTATAAATCTATATATTGATTTATCATGATTTATCATTATTATTGTCAGACATCAATATCATCATCACTGTATATACATCTAAAAACAACTAATTAAACACATTATCGGAGGTTGATTTGAAGGAATTTGACCCATCCGGGTGCTGCATCATCCGCCGAGCAGCTCCCATAATGTTGTTGCGCTTTCCTTCAGGCTCTGCAGGGCCATCAATGATACGCAACGCCTGGGGCATGTTGGATCCATGGATAAACACAGACTATAACTGTGACTATATATGTGTATAATATACATATATATATATATATACATACATACATACATACATACATATTATATATATATATATTATATGTATATATTACAGTATCTGATGGATCAAGCGTGTTCTGAGCAAACTGTAAAGCTCCAACATCTACGACCTCACATGCTGGCTCTACAAATCCATGGGCTTATCCTGGCCTCTTCCTTCTCTTTCCAGGTTGATGGGATGTCTAACACCCAGGACATCACCGACAAGTTCTTGCCTGCAGTTGGAGCAGTTGAAAAAGTGAATGTTGTATAATGTCAACCCCGGATTAATAAACCATGGTTTATTAATTAGGGGGGTACTCCTCCAATAGTCATAATCTGATACTTTCTTGGTGCCCTCCCAATTAAACAGCCCAGGGGTTTATTAATCCAGGGTTGACATTAATGTTCTCCTAGGCTCTACAAAACCCTTCAACCATCTTCAACCATCTTCAGCCCAAATCTTCGAGACCGCTGTGCCCGCTGTGCCTTTGGGTCGGTAGCTATAGTTCAAACCTAAAGCATCACATCGAAAGACGATGATCTTGCCCTTCGTCAAGGGCAGTGTCACCTGGGAAAGGTCAAAAGATGTCATTTTAGCTGGGCAGCATTCTGACATATTCTGATATGAGTTCATACCAATCCTGCCTCATTGTAGTCATATCCAGTGGGGTTGGGAAAGAGCTCCAACTCTCCTCCTTCCTCGGCGTCAACGGTGGTGCCATGTGCCATGCTGTGCCATGCTGCCATGCTGTGGCATTCCTGAGGGCACCACGTTGTCCACCAAAAACATGACGCAAAGGCGCCTCAGATCTGATAGAGACTTGCCACCGTTTCCCAACACGTCCTCCGTGTTCGGATTCATACCCTGGTTGACTGGCAGGGGGGTGGACAACAAAAAGGTCCCCAACAATTCAACAGCCCAGGGGCAATCCGGGGTTGACACTATGGAGCAGACTTAAAAAACATCAACACATAGACAAACTATGACACCATTTTTACGTATGGCAGCCATTGGCAGCCAGGGTTACCCACAGTAAACCCATTGGATTTTCCATGGGATTTTCCCATGGAGGCTCCAGTTCTCCCTGTCTCCGATGTCGATTCCAAGATACTTTCCATCCACAAAGGATATGTGTGAGTCGAGCTCTGACTGCTCGTCTTGACCGAAGGTGCGGCTTCGGACACCTGGCAATTTCTTTTGGATAATTTTGGGATGGTCCATGATGTTCAGATTTTTCTGGGAAAATTGGAGAAGCCACGGCTTTTCAAGTCAAGATGATACTGCGATTCAGCTCGAGGGACACCAAGCAAAAGTGTGCAAAGAATGTATTTTGCAAGATGTGTGTGCCTCCGCACGGATTTTCAAAGTTGGCAAGACATCTTTGCTTGCATATTTTTCTGATGTATCTGCTGAAATGATCATGACATTTCCTGATCCCTATTTCTGATTAACTAGTTATGTTCATCCAGTTTGTATCATAACTAATCTCTTGGAATTGGGTTTGTATCATAGGTAATCATCGAGATCTGTATCAACTCAAACTCTTAATTACAATCTCAACTGAACAGCCTGTTAAACAAAGCTCTCCCTGCCTTCATCACCCGAATTCATCGACGCCCTCACCTTGGCTTGGAAGATCCATGAAAGGTATTTGGCATGGTATGGCTGTCCGAAATATGGTGATTCTGGTGATCAAATAGCAACCTGACCAACTAGGTGACCGAAATTTGTTGCATCCAAGTGCTCCGACCAAGCCAGCGGTTCGCTGGAACACGGCAAAGGCCTTGTCGTCCTCGTAGTCAGGTGTGTAAGGCCTCGGCCAGTAGTTCTTCGGTGCATTTTGCTGCAGCTATGTACAAGTGATGAGAAAACAGCTCCGTCTCTGAGGGCCATACATCTTGTATTGTGGATATGTATATTCCATAGGATCCATGGTGCTGGTATATATGCTAACATGACTGGCGTATATGGATGGGATCTATGTTACCATATATAACATACATGGATCCGCCATGGGTACTGCTATGCAAAGAGAATCACCCTCTGGTAATTTAACATAGCTATGGAAAATCACCATTTTTAATGGGAAAATCCACTATAAATGGCCATTTTCAATAGCTATGTTAGTTTACCAGAGGGCAAGTGTTATCCAATTTTGACCTTCACATTTTGCAGTTGATCCAGCGAGGTCCTTAAATTTTTAGCGTTTGAAGCCAAGGAGCCACATCAGCGCGGCCACATTGGTTAGGGCGCGATCGCAGAGCTCCAATGGAGCCTGAAGAAGCGATGGAGGTTTTGGTTCCACAAATCGGTAGAACTCAACAAATCCCTTGGATTCACTGGATTTTTATATTGAAATATATTGAAATATATTGAACACTGTATCCATTGGATTAATATATTGAAATATATTGAAACACTGTACTGGACGTATTCAGACTATTCAGGTAGAGGAATGACAGGAATGCTATCCAATTAGACTACTTAGTTTTTTTGGCTGGTGACAAAAAACAGCCGGCACTGACAATTTCTCTGGGCCCTGGCACCAACTGATCCATAGCCATGTTGGGCCCCATTTCCTCGATGTCAAACATTCGAAGGCGAGTCTGACTCGCCTGACGTCGCGTGCCCGGCGTGCCCGGTGGGTAGATGTGGGTAGCGTACGGGAGATGGCCATGGCATGGCGTGATCCGGGCAGCCTGGTAGTAGCCCATGTATTGGAGCCATGCCACCTTGCTGTCCACCACATCCACCTAACATCGCTGGAAAATGACTTGAAACATGTTGAAACTTAGCAGTTTGGTCATGTTTCTTCGGTCAATGCTTACCCATGACGGATCCGGCTGGTGCTGGTAGATTAATGCTAACATGACTGGGGTATATTGATGGGATCCATGGAGCACCATTTTTCTAGCAGCACCATGGATCCTATGTTTGCTTGGTAAATGTATTGAACATGATTGATTGATTTTAAAAATCCAACTTTCGGGGGAATCTGAAGCACACATTTTTAAACGCCCATCCGAGCAACCCCAAGATACTCCTCCTCGGTTTCCTTGGCTCTGCTGGTAGAAAACCACTGAGGAATCAATGGGCCACCATTGATATATGTTTGGTGACTACTTGCCAACTGATGCGACTGATTTTGTTGACCACATTACTTGCATGCACTCAAATCTTAGCAATACCTTTAGTATCCTTGAGTTACAACTCTGACACTCCATAAGATCCCTTCCAATGTTCCATATGTTCCATGTCCAAGAGATTCCATTGGTGTATCTTCAGCTATGTCCAAAATAAATCAAAATAAACACCATGGTCACCATGGTCACCATGGTGGCTGGGAGGTCACCATGGTGGCTGGGAGCCGCACACTTGGGAAGACGCCCCATTCCATCTGCTGGACACTGCTTTCCACTTCCTTCACTGCCCTGGCAATGGGATCAATGGAGCAACATCGGGAAAGGGCCCTAAAGGATGAAGTGACAATATGAAGCCAACAGGAATATAAGAGGAATGTAAGAGGAATGTAAGAAGAATGTACATTAAATTTATAAGAATCCATACATAATTCAATTTTTAAAAACACATCGCGAGTCAACTCGCAAGAAGTCATAGCTGTTTTTCCTATGGTTTTTCCAATCGATATCCATGGATCAAAATGATCAAATAGACAGACGGGCTCATCGCTGAAAGGCATGTCAATCACACAGTACCTGGCGGCATCTGGCGGTCGTTCTGAATTGCTGACTCTGAGGGATATATATGATATATATGATATAATTCTGGGTTTTATGATATATATCATATATAATACATATATATATATCGTATATTACACATCACTCAGTGATTTTCTGCAAAATGTGGGATTGCCAGCACCCTCTTTGAGCACCCTCATTGGGAGAGAACGGGGGCATCTCTACACATCGGGTCACCCTTTCTCGTTGACAGTCTCAGCCACCGTAGCAGAGAATTCCTCATGCTCATCTTCACCCTCAGAAGCAGCGGCGCTGCACTGGCATCAGCAGTATTACAGTATGTTCAGCAGTTAACCACAAATGTTAATGTTGAGGTTCATCTTGATTCGTGCAGCGTCCATCATCTACATCAAGATATTGTAATAGCGATGATGTTTCTGAATGAATACAGCTGCGCCGACTGTTGGACATCTGGTATCGTTCCTGAATTTTGTTTTCCAATATGTCCAGTTGTATATAATAGATCCAAAATGAGGTACCTCCAACTTTAACGGATGACTATTGTTTTTCTCATTTATCACATTCGTTGTGGTCTGTCCCAAGGTGGATTGATAAACTATCATCATGTCCTCCTCTGAATATTTAGAAGTTTCCACAGTCATGGGGGTACAATCATCCAGTCTTAATGGATGACCATGAATCTGTTTTTGTTTTGAAAACAATATGTTTTTAAAGAGTTCCTGATAGTTTCTGGACTTGGGGATCCCACATGACTCCAGAAACTCTCCCTTTTTGAATGCGCTAAGTGCCAGGCACTGGGCCAGGCAACATCGTATCCTCCATCCTCTGGATGGGGAGGAGCATCGTAGTCGTCCTGAAATACCGGGGATTTCAAATGGGAAATCTATGGAAATCTAAGATTTCATGGGATGTCACATGGGATGGGTCAATACCTATTAATACCATTTTTAGGGGGATGAACATCCATTTACCAGCTATTTTGATGTTCACCAGGGGTATAAGGTTTTGACCCACTGCCATATTATTTCATGATATCGAATAGGACGATTTCTGAGGCCACCAAGTATTGACCTTGGCAGCTGCGGAGAAAATCGGTGCTGACCTCGTCTTGCGCACGACTCATAGCGCCTGCACCACATCCACGGCATTGAACATCAACATGCGTGTTTACCCTCTGGTAAACATACAAAAAACTATTGAGTATCGCCATCTATAGTTGATTTACCTCTTAAACATTGTGATTTTCCATAGTTATATGTTTACCACAGGGTATCCATTGTTCCTACCAACTTCGTGTGCCCTGAGCCGAACCTGTGCCCCAAAGCTCAGCGGCCACCGAGTGGCGCTTTCGTTTTTGAACCAAAAAAGGAGCCGTGCGTCATCCAAATTCCGCCGTTGAAAACTTCAAATCACCATGATATGTCATCAAATCACAATATATATGTATATATACACATTGGTATGTATATATAAATACACATATACATATATACATATACATGTATATATATATATACATATATATACATGTATATATATACATGTATATATATATATACATATATATACACATAACATTATTATGTACCATTAGATCCACTCATCATAGGAATATAATGATATAGTCAGATATATAGTAGTTGTATTATATTCATCATGGTAGATGACAGACCCAAATAATCATATCCCGTTGATATGTTGGATAATGGGATTCTATATAATTAATGGGATGTAGCAATATAACTCACAAACAGTATGATAAATTTGGGCCTGTCCAAAAAAAAATGTAAAATAGGACACACCCAGTTGTTTTATTCGAGGAGGAAAAATGATAATTAATTGACCGCATACCCCACAAGTCAACTTCTTCCAAAAATTAGAAAAAGTGGTGGAAGCGGCACGGAGAAAGAAGAAAGGGCAAAGGAGATGGTGGAGGGTCAATCGTTTCAAAAGTTGCGTGTGACAAAGATGCGTGTGACAAAGCCGTGTGTGAAAGATTTGTGCGCGTGTGTGACAAAGTGGTCTGTGACAAAGCTGTGCGTGTGAGGGAGTTGCGCGTGACAAAGTTGTGTGCGTGTGTGACAATGTCTTGTGTGTGACAAAGACGCGTGGGAGAGAGAAGCTGCATGTGCGAGAGATGCGCGCGAAAGATTGCGAGCGACAAAGTTGATCTAAGTGGGTGACTAAGCTGTGTGTGACACAGATGTGTAAGAGAGAGAGAGAGAGACGTTGCGTGAGAAGGAGTCGCGTGGGGCATAGATTGTGTGCGACAAAGTTGTGGGTGACAACGTTGCGTGTGAGAGAGATGTGTGCGACAAAGTTGCATGCGAAATGTGTGTGTGTGTGAGAGAGATTCTGTGCGACAAAGTTGTGTGCGACAAAGTTGCGTGCGACAAAGTTGCACGTGACAAAGTTGTGTGTGTGTGTGTGACAAAGCTGCGTGTGAGAGGGATGTATGTGAAACCGTTGTGTGCGAAAGAGTTGTGTTTGACAAAGTTGTGTGCGATAAAGTCGCGCGCCTGCCGCGTGAAACGAAAGTCGATGTCGCCAATCGCCACGCCTGCCACACAAAGTGCCGCGGCGTCACTGGCGACTAACGGCGCCCAAGCGCGCCGCCAGAGCCAGTCCAGTGTCACAAGCACCACGCCTGCCACGCAAAACGAAGGTGAATGTCGCCAAGGACCATGCCTTCCACGCGAAACGAAGGTGGATGTCGCCAAGTGCCAGGCCTGCCACGCAAAGTGCCGCGGCGTCACGGGCGATTAACGGCGCCCAAGCGCGCCGCCAGAGCCAGCCCAGCGGCACAAGTGCCACGCTTGCCACGCAAAACCAAGGTGGATGGTGTGTGACAAAGTTGTGTATGAAAGATGGTGTGTGACAAAGTGTGAAAGATGGGGGGTGCCAAAGCCGCGTGTGACAAAGACAAAGTTGCGCGTGTGAAAGAGAGTGCTTGAAAAAGTTGTGTGTGAAAGAGAGCGTGTCAAAGTTGTGTGTGAAAGATGGTGTGTGACAAAGTGGTGTGTGGACAAAGTTGTGTGTGTGGACAAAGTTGTGTGTGTGTGCGACAGAGTTGTGTGTCAAAGAGAGGGGTGGCGGAGGAGGCGGCAGCATCAAGAACAAGAACCCCAGACACAAAGATGCCGGGGAAAACAAAAACATCTCATCACCGGGGCTGGTATTTGGGCGGGGGCTGTTGGGGCACGGATTTGTGGCTGTAAAGTGGTGCTGAATGACCGCAACTACTATAAAAGCCCTAGCACTTCGCACGGCAAATTGAGAACCTTTTGAGCCAACACCTGCTTACATACAGTTGCATCATGCTCAAAAAAAATGCAACGCAGACAACTGTCTGGTTCCTGGAATTCAACCTTGCTCTCTGCATCCATGTGCCGAAAAACTTTTGGTCTACAACTGCATTGCATTGTGAATCAAATCCAGCCTCTTCAGCCAAACATATTACACTGCTACATGCAACAGCACACGATCCGTCAGTCCGGTTTTTTCAGGCTCACGTCCAAAATTTTCATTGCTGTTAACTCACATGCTAAGAGTGAGTCGTCCTGGCCCACTTTGGGTCCTTCTTTGCAATCATGAGCGCGGAAGCCAGTGCTATGGGAAAAGGCCTCTTGGACACTGCCTCCTGTGATCCATCTCTAAAAGAAGTATGTGGAGACGGGGTCAGCAAATCCCACCTGTAAGAGCCGTATACCTTCCTCCGGCGCAGCTCAGAAAATTGTTCTCTCTCATTCGGCGGTTTGGCCAAGCCCGGGCTCACCGCGCTTCAGCGCGTGCAGGTTGGCTTCGAAGGCATGTTGCAGATGACCGAGACGCTGCACAACCTCAGTTTCCTTTTCACCACAAAATCCCTCCTATCTGGATGCAGAAAAACAATCGGTTTGAGAAGAGATCCTTCAATAAGATTGGAGCACCACGAATTTGCTACAAAGATTCTTGCTTGAATTTCACCTATGGGGTCGGGACCCCTCATTTGGTAGTCATAGCATTCGATCCTAACCTCAGCGACTATAAAATGACGGTTTTGAACCTGCTGAAGGTTACGGAAAATGACAGCATGAATACTGCTATAATATGAAAATTCGCTCTTATCATTAGGTTACCCAAGAGGGAAAAGCCCATCACTACACAATAAACATTGATGCTTATCATCAAGTCACCTGAAGGGCATGCCCCACCACTACAAAATGACGATTAGAAAGGATCATTCGTTTCAAAAAGCCATTGCTTGTACACGTCAGGCATGCAAGCTGCTACCGAAAAGAAAATGTGTTTCACTGCTGGCTTAACATGTTCCCGCAACTTGCTGGTTTTACCGTCGAGTCTAGTTGTCTGAAGAGAAATTTGCCTTGCTACAAAATGAGATTTTGGGTTTCAACTTGCCTTCCGAAGGGCAAATCCCCTTGCTACAAAATGACGTTCTATCTTAAAAGGTCTTTCAACTTTCAACTACGGAAACTTTGAAATATTACAAAGTGCAATCCCTGACCTTTGCATTCTCACACTAGAGCCCGCCGACCTCCTCCCACACTGTCTTGGTTGCGGCGTCGACTGCGGCAGGGTCGACCTTCTTGGGGGCGTCCAGTGCAGCGTGACAACCGTGCGCGAGGTAGAAGAAGACAAAGTAGTCCTGTGGCTTTCGGGCTTCAAGCGCGTTGCTATCCCCGCGTGGTGCCGCGGGGGGTGGTGGAGCCCCTAAAAGAATAGAACAAGATGCAGCCCACGAACCCGAATGCAGTCACGTAGAACACTATTATGAAACAAGTTATTTGAACAGTCTACATTTTCCCCCGTTACCGTAACAGCACACTGTAGACGGTGGAATGTGGAAACCGGCGGGGTGTAAAGTGTAGAGCGTAGAGTGCGGATTGTAAAGTGTGGAGTGTAAAGTGTAGAGTGTAGAGTGCGGAGTGTAAAGTGCGGAGTGTAAAGTGCGGAGTGTGGAGTGTGAGGAGTGCGCAGTGTAAAGCGTAAAGTGCGGTGTGCAGAATATAGAGTGTAGAATGTAAAATTTAGAGTGTGGAGTGTGGAATCTAAAGTGTGGAGTGTGGAGTGTAAAGTGTGGAGTGTGAAGTGTAAAGCGTAAGGTGTGGAGTGTGGAGTGTAAAGTGTAGAGTGCAGAGTGCGGAGCGTGGAGTGTAAAGTGTGGAGTGTGAGAAGTGTGAGAAGTGTGCAATGTACAGTGTGGAGTGTGGGTGTAAAGTAAGGAGTGTGGAGTGTAAAGTGTGGAGTGTGTAACGTGTAGAGTGTTGGGTGAGGAGTGTGGAGTGCGGAGTGAGGAGTAAAAAGTGTAAAGTGTGTAGCGTAGCGTGTGGAGTGTAAAGTGTAGAGTGTAAAGTGTCACGTGTAGAGTGTGGAGTGTAAGGTCTGGAGTGTGGAGTGTAAAGTAAGGAGTGAAGAGTGTAAAGTGCAAAGTGTAAAGTGAGGAGTGTGGAGTGTGCATTGGGTTAAGTGTAGAGTGTAGAGTGTGAAGTGTGAAGTGAAGAGAGTAAAGTGTAGAGTGTGTAAGGTGTAGGCTGTGGAGTGTAGAGTGTGGAGTATAGAGTGTGGAGTGTAAAGTGTAGAGTGTAAAGTGTAGTGTGGAGTGTGGTCCTCATGGCAGCTTCATTACAAAGCTGCAGCGTGGTGAACTTTAACCCGGAACTTGATATCACTGCTTGCAGGACTCTCTCTCTCTGCAAATGCAGCCGCCGCAAATCTTGATCATCTTGTGTGCAATAGTTGATACTAGTGACTGCACGCCAGGATTCGTTATTACAACAAGCGCAGTCTTCTCAGCATTGCAGCCCCGACCATGCAGCGCAATGGTTGGAAGGAATTCCTGGCAATGCATACCAACGCTTGCCGGACATGATGCTATATATGCGAAATAGAATGCCAAAATGTATGACAGAAAAAGTGGCAGAACAAATGCCCAGACAGAGAAATTGTGCCAGATAGAATGCATCATGCCAATGCATCACAAAAGTCTAGCTGCAACTCGGTGCACTTTGTGTCAACCAGGCGATCTAGACGACTGCCAAATTCTGTCAAAGCTCTCTTCAGTCCCCTGGTTGTCAACTCCCCATGAGCAAGGCACCAAATACTGCCACACATGACCACATCACCCGCCTTGGCATGTGGTTCCCTGGCCGCACCAGCTTGATCTTCAAGGTTCAGCAGTGCCTGGCACAGTGCGGAACAGGCACTTGGCACACAGAACCAGACAGGCACCTTAGCAAAATCTCCAGCATTGCTGGCACGTTCTGCCCGGCCACCCTTAACCTGAGCGATGCAATGTCAAAGCAGATCCGATCTGGTGACTTGTGCCGGTCACCAATT